GGGGGGGGGGGGGGGGGGGGGGGGGAAGGTCCCCGTAAACGAAACCACCACCACACCATGGCAATAGAGATGACTGTAGAAGAATGAGTTGCCCTCCTCCGTCGGGGGGTCGGGACTCGCTCGTTCGCCGCGTCAGGAAGTGCATGCAAAGCCCCCAAGCTCGCATGGCCCTCGAAAGATGGTGCCGAATGAAAAAGTCTCGAGGCCCCAAAATGGCCCCAATTACAAAGAACACGAACTCGGGTAAGAGCGTGCCTCGCTCGCTAAAAGCTCGCGAGTGAATCGATGAAGGACGACTCCTGCAATCAAGGAGGGAGGGTATCACACGTGACGGTGGTGTCCGTGGCCACGTCCCTACCCTTGTGGGCAGGTCATGGCGGCTTCTCGGCTGCTTCATTGAATCGCACTGACAACACACACACACACACACACACACACAGTGATGAGAGGCCGGCCCCTGCCGACGAGTGACGAGTGTGTATGTGTGTGTGTGTGTGTGCTGGTTTTATCCACACGCAGTAAGTGTAGTTGTGTGTGTTGCGTTATTGTGCAGGGTTGCCCTGCGTGTGGAGACCCGTGTAGAGCCATTCCATTCAAACAAACTATTACCAGTAGGTAGGTACACGTGCACAAAGTAAATGTCGGGAAAAAAAGCATACACAGACGAACACAAACATGAACACTTGACAGACAGCTTCTCACAAACAAGTGTCCCACTCACACACGCCCATTTGCATTCTGAGTCCGCTCCCTGCATTCTCCAATAAGCGCAAGAGCACCCCACCCACACCTGTACAACAAATCCGCTCACATGGTTGGCAACGAACGAAAGCCCACTCAAAAAGCACTAGCGCCTGACCACACGCACACATAATCACATGGACACTCTCCTCAAGAAGCAGCAAAGGAGAGAAAACGTGTCACGTGTGTCGCTCACCCAGCTGTGCTTCCTTCCCCTCCTGCGTTAGCTATCTATCCCTTTCTCTGCCTTGCTGTCGGCGGCGGCGGCATCTGGTTGGTGTCTGCGGGCATCTTGCTCACTGGAACGCATACATTGCCTGTACGCACCAACACACGCACACCGAGAAAGAGAGCGACAAACAAACGGTATGTCCCCTGCCTGTTGTCTTGTGTCCTCCCCAGCTGTTCCAATCAGCCCGTACCTTTCTTATCCTTGTCCGGCAGCACCACCGTCGGCTGTACGTCCACACAATCAGTATGTGGCCTGTTGTCTTGTGTCCTCCCTAGGTGTGCTGCAATCAAGCACGTACCTTGTCCGGCACCAAGTTGTACACCGCCGACTTGAAACCCTCCGGACCCTCGGCGGCGAGTTCAAAGACACGCGCCACCCTGATCGTCGAGTCCTCTTCGAGCGCCTTGATCTTCGCCTTTTTGTTCGCGTCGTCCCCGAAGTCCCCGTTCTCGATCTCCTCGCGCCAGTGGTTCTTCGCCCACGCTTTCCGTTTGTTGGTCAGAGGGTACGTCGTCAAAGGGGGACTCCAATCGAAGCCATATTGAAAGAAATGCGCAAACGCCCACATTCCCTTCTCGAAAAGCCGGAGAGAGACGCGAGCTTGCCAGCTCGCAAAAGGGCCATGTCCCCGGCCTTGCCTGAAGCCCTGCTGCATGGCAATAGAGATGACTGTAGAAGAAAAGCTGTAGATGAGGGGCCAGAGCATCCGGCCCGACTTCCTCCCGGCGCACAGCAAAGAGAACGGCGTCGCGGTGCCGACAAGGAGCATCCAGCAGGCCCTCGCCAGATGCGCCCAGAGCGGCGTGGCCAGCCTCAGCCAGCGGGGGCTGCGGGAGCTGCCCATGGAGCTCTTCGACTTGAGCAAGGCGCAGATCGAGGGCGTCAACTGGTGGGAATGCAACGCGCTGACCAAGATGGACATATCCTACAATGAGATCTCGGCCATCCCTGAGGTACGCAATGAAGAAAATAAAGAAATGCCGTTGTAGTCTCATGTTAATTGCTGAGGGTCGGTGATGTTGATGTTGATGTGGTCATGCAGGCTGTGTCGAGCCTTGAAGACCTCTCTGTGGTGATCGGCATGCACAACCGGTTCGACGCCCTCCCTGAGGCGCTGTTCAAGCTCCCGAGCCTCAAGTGCCTCCACTTCGCTCACAACAGACTCACATCGCTTCCCGGCAGCATGGCCAACTGCACGTCCCTGGTGGACCTCGACTTCTCCTGCAACAGCCTGTCTACGATGCCTTGTGTGGCGAAGCTGACAAACCTGGAGTCGCTCCAGCTGGATGGGAACGACCTCACGGTGAAACACGCATTCATTGCATATCAGATGGTGAACTGATTGATGTGACGAGTGGGCGGCGAGGCGATGTGTGTTGGGTGGGTGCAGATGCTGCCTGATGGGACTGAGCATCTGGCCAGGCTGAGCAAGCTGAGCGTGTCCAAGAACCAGCTGGAGAGTCTGCCCGACGGCATCGGCGACCTGGGCCACCTCAGGGAGCTCAACGTCCACGCCAACAAAGTCGCGGCGCTGCCCTCCTCGATCACCAAACTCCACAGCCTCGTCCTCATGGACGTCAGTGGTCGGTCAGCCATTCAACAGCCATGCCGTCACCTTGTTGATGTGCTGTGCTGTGTGGTGTGGTGCCATGCAGAGAATCGGCTGACGGCGTTGGATCACCTGCCGAGGTCGGAACACCTGGACAGCATCTGTGCGGCCGACAACCACATCAGGACGATGGACGGTTCACAGCTGGAGCACACGCCCAATCTGACTGTCCTGGACCTCAAGGGCAACCACCTGAAGCGACTCGACGAGGGAGTGGGGCACCTGACGGTGAGTGAGACTGACTGTGATGCGGCATGTGTGTGTGTGTGCGGCAATGCTGAATAATTTATGCCGGATCGTCGTTCGTGTCTGCAGCGGCTCAAGACGCTGGACCTGACGAACAACGCCCTCCCAAACCTGCCGAAGTGAGAATGGCTGGATGGATGGCTGGATGGATGGATGCCATCGTCGTCCTCTTGGTGTCGCGTGCTTGGTGTGGTGTGTCCAGTGCGCTTGGGTCGTTGGAGAGCCTGACTCGTCTGCTGATCGACGGCAACATCATCCGCTGCATCAGGCCAGAGGTGCTCAAGGGGCCCGTGCTGGGACTCAAGAAATACCTGAGAGGGCGGTCGGAGTCATCAGGTGATCCCAGCCATCCGTCCGTCCATCCATCCATCCATCCACTGCCGCATTCTGTCGTCATCGTGTGTGTATGTGTGTGCAGGTTTGGATGTGCCGAACGGTGCCTCTGGTGCTGGTGCTGACACAGAGCAGGATGACGCCATGGCTACGCGCATCCGGACAGCCAGGGCAACGCGCGAACTCAACCTCAGCAAAATGGTGGGCACCGCACCCAATGGCACAGTAGTGGATGGAGGCTTTGCATCTGACGATTGCACGTGTTCGTGTGGATATGTGCGTGTGTGTGTTGTGTGTGTGTGTGTGGTGTGCAGATGAGTGAGAGGAACAGGGTGGAGCTGTGGCGTTTGTCGACCTCCATCGAGGACCTCGAGGCCTTCACGGTGTCTGACAACGGCATAGCCGAGCTGCCCGAGGCCATCAGCCGATGGGACAGGCTGCAGAAGCTCATCGCCGACCACAACAAGGTCAGGCAGTCACCCATACAGACAACACGCATCTCATCCTCATCTCGGTGTGTCGTGTGTGTGGTCTCAGTTGACGGCCCTCCCTCCAGCCCTATGGCATCTGTCGTCGTTGAGGGAGCTGGATGTGTCCTACAACACCATCAGAAGCATCGCCCCGCCCACAGCCACCATGCGGCACCTGGCGCACGTCAACCTCTCCTGCAACCAGCTGGCGGCTTTCCCTGCAGACCTCATCGACGCCGCACCGAAGCTGCAAGTAAGTGGGACGGCCGGCTGATGGATGGATGATGGATGTGCGGGACCTTTGTGGTGGTGCTGTGCTGTCTGTAGGAGCTGCGTGTCGCATACAATCAGATAGCGTCCGTTGCGGAGGGGCCGGCTGAGGCCTACACGCCACATAGAGCACTAGGTGGGAAGGGGATGGCGGCAATATGCACACAAGGGGCACCCCTGCACACTTCGCGTGTGTGTATGTGTGTGTGTGTGTGTGTCAGAGACGTTGGATCTGACGAACAATCGCATCACGGCGTGCGGGGAGGGGCTCATGGTGGCTTTTCCCAAGATGCGCACTCTCATCCTCGCCAACAACGGTGCGCACCTTCCCCTTCATCGCAACATGACTGCGCCCTCTCTCTCATCTCATATGTTGTCTGTGTGCGTCACTCAGACCTCCGCGGCATCCCTTTCGCATGGGGCCTCTGGGAGGTACACACACTCTCAACAGCTGCCCTGATGCCCCATGCATTCTCCCTCCCTGTCTGTCTGTTCAGTCCTTACAAGCGTTGTCTCTCGACGGCAACCCGTTGAAGGCCCTCAGATCCTCCGTCCTCCACAGAGGTAGGTAGGGTAGGCAGCAACCATGCCGACGACACAAAGAGAGATCTCCGTCTTCCTCTCTTTCTCCATCAACTCAGGCACCATTGCCGTCAAGGACTATCTGGCGTCGCGTCTTCCGGAAGGATACACCATCCCCACACCCAAGCAACCAGACCAGCCTCAGAGCCCAACGCCGCACCCCGCTGCTGCCGGTGGTGCGACGGCCGCTGCAGCGGGTAGCCCTCCGAGGCGCCATGACCCCCATGACGTGGCGCGTGTAGAGGCCTTGGAGAAGAAGATACGCGACCTGGAGGTGTGATTGGGGTGATGATGTGGAGGGGAGCTGGGACGAATTCCAGGCTGTTTGGTGTGTGTTGTGTGCAGGATGAGGTAGCTAATCCTGTGGGGCTGACGGGGGCCGAGCAGAGGGCACTCAAGAAGGTGCGGATGTCAGCACTCACTCAAGAGAGAGGGAAGCGGACAAGTGGAAGTGTCTGTGTGTGTCTGCAGGAGTTGGACGATGCTCGTGCAGAGTTGGCGGATTTGCAGAAGTACATGGTGTAGCTCGGCCAGGCTAGAGACGGATGCACAGGGGCAGCAACAGCAGCAGCAGCCGTATCTGTCTGTATGTGCATACGCACGTCACGTTCGTCTGACCATGTGCGCCTGTGTGCACGCGCTGTGTGTATATATATCGGTTGTGTGTGGATACACAGAAGCAGCTGACACTTGCATGCTGATTGACAGTCCGGATGGATGGGCGAACGACGAATCCATGGCGACGAATGTCAGTCCGCCTAGGGTATCCCCGAAACTGCGTTGCGAGCTGAAGGATCTCCTGGAGCTTATCTTCGCGTCTTCCATCTTTGCGGGCTTTGCGGTGTGAGTCGTCTTCCATCGATGATGAAGACCTTTTCGGTGCTGCTGGCCCTGTGTGCATGCGTCTCCCTCGGACGCCGCCACAGCCGCCGACGTCATCTCACCCCTACAGGCGATGAAGAGAGCGAGGCCCTCCACCACGTATGTCACAGATCTACAGCCCTCTGCACTCCACACACAAGAAAGACGCACTCTCTCAGTGGGTGTGTGGTCACATGAGTGTGTCTGGGTGCTGCTCCCTCTTTCTGTTCCATTGCAGGGTGCCTTTGTGGTGTTCGCCAACCGCACCATCTACCTCGTTGACCCAGACAGCGCTGTGTAAGCGGGAAAACACCATTCACCAGGCGTACATACTATAGAGTGTCTGTACTCACTGCGTGGTTGGGCGTTGCTTTGCGTGTGTGCGTGCAGGGCCTTCGACAGGATTGAGGTGGATGTGGAGAAGTGGGGAGACCCGGCAGCCAGCGGCATCAGTGATGAGCAGATGGGCGTCATCCCGGCACAGGTGACACAAATACACATGCCCACAGATCCACTCGACGGTCGTGTGTTAGGCTCTGCCGCCTGTCCACCCACCCACCCGTTGCCGTGTTTTCTGTCATTCATTCAGTATGAGGATAAGCCTGGGGAGTTGTGGACGTACGAGTTTCATGACCACTTCGAGATCATGACAAAGCTGCCGGTGAGAGAGAGGCACGCACAGGGCGAGAGAGAAAGACAGACACACGAGGTGTCTGTCGAATCAACCAACCAACCAACGCACGTACATGTGTGTGTACTCTCTCCAGCTGGGCGAGCGTCCGGTGCACACCTACTGGGTCGACTACCTCCATGAGTGGTGGGTCCATCCTGATGGTGATGGGCACTTCGACATCCTCAGCCCCGATGACATCGAGAAGCTCGACTTTGAGAATTTGAAGGCGTATGCGGCCAACCCGAGCCACGGGAAGCTCGTGTGGGACGAAGAATGGGCACCGATCGGGTTTGCTACCACCACCGGTAAGCTGAAGTGACTTGCTTACACGTGCACTGCACGCACGTATGTCATTCATCGATCGCGTGTTTGGTGCGGCGGGCCGGGTGTGTGTGCAGAGGACCCGGGCATTCACGAGCTTGACCTCCAGAAGCGGGAGTACATCAAGTTCCACAACCTTTCCCAGCCCATCGACGACTCGGGTGTGGGCTGCGAGGGCACACACGCCATCGCCCACTACGCCAACAACGAGGTCATCCTCATCGAGTGCAGTAGGCCTTCAGACGCCAGGTCGATCTGGGAGTTCGACTTCGAGCGCCGCCAGCCAATCCAGCGCTTCAACTTCTCGGGGCCCATATACCCGGTCCCACAGTACGAGAACTCACCATGGGGATATCACTCGAGTCTGGCGCTTGTGGGCGACAAGAACAACGACCGTGTCCACATCCTCCGTAAAGACAATGCGTCGGCGGACACGGAGGTCATCAGCATTGAGGTCCCCGGCGGGCCTGGCAAGACATCCTTCATCAACACAGTGGACGACCCGGACGCACCTGCAGACTGGCTGGTGAGGGATCAAAACGGTCGAAGGAGCGAGCTTGGATGTATGGTGGGCATGGTCTCTCGTTTGTGTGTGTGTGTGGGTGTGTGTAGGCCTTTGTTGCCCTTGAGTCAAACAGGTCTGACAGCGGCGTGGCTGTGCTGGATCTGGGCAGAATCCTCGAGGGCGACCTCACCTACGATGTCATCAGTGAGCGACCCACTGAGAGGCACACACACACTCAACGCGCATCTATGGAATGGCTGTATCGTATCGTGTTGTGGCATGCCTCAGAGGTCGGCCCAGGGAACAAGTACCGTCCAATAGAGCGCGGCGGCGATAGGTGGATCGCCACTCCCGTGGCTGACGAGTAGGCGCACAGCACCTATCTATCCCACACACACGTGCACCGATTGTCCCTTCGCTGGCGGTTCAGGGAGACTGGGAGTTATAGCGGCCTTGCGATCATCGACGCACTCACTCGCGAGTTCCGCATCGTGCCCAACATCAAGTAAGGCAGGCAGCGACACGTGCAAGGTAGACGTCTGTCTTTGTGTGATGTGTGTGATGTCGGCGTGTGGATCAGTGACACGTCGCGTCTGATCTGGATGGCGGATTGGTCTCACTACGCCGAGGAGAACGAGATCCACGAGCTGCATGAGTACATTGAAGAACTTGAGCATCGAATCGAGGTCAGCCACACACACACACACCCCACCTCTTCGATGGACGGATCAACCTTTCTGCTTTGTGTCTATGTGTATTGGATCTCCGTCTGTCAGCAACTTGAGCGCACTGTGGGCTCCATCGGCAACACACCGTCAGGAGGCGAGCGCCGATCGCTGAGGAAGCTCAAGTCCAGGAGAGCCTGATGAGCCTGATCCATCAGTCTGTCTATCGCATATTCATGTCTGTCCATCCATCGCAGTACAGTCTTGTCTAGGTTCATTCCATTGCGGTTGCATTGCTGCTGATGAAGCTTTTGGCAATGTCTCTAGCACACTGCCTCGCCAGGTGCTTTATCACCAGCAGTGCAACGCGTGGAGGCCCGCCGCGGCCCGACATGGGCTGTCGGCAGCAAGCAAGTTTCTCTGTGGCCGTCTTGAGCGACTCGGCCGGCTTTCTTGAGTCCATGCGTCTGTGTGTGTCTCCTTGCAGTGGGGGAGAAGGGGTAATCGCAGAGCATGACGATGGTGTGCTGGTGAGACGGGAGTGACCTCACCAAATGATGTCTGCCTGTGTTGTCGGGGCGAACATTTGGTGCGTCGGGCTGCTTTGAGGCAGATACATGCATGATAGCGCTGTGGAGAAAGAGACCGTCGTGGCTTTATCTGGCTTTATCGATTGGGGGTCAGCCAGCACGTGCGTTGAATGGATGGATGGTGGCTGGGATGCGAGACCGTAAGTTCTCTTCTCGCCGTCAGTGAGTTGATGATGCGTCCATCTATCGATCGGGAGAATTAGATACGTTGGTTTATGTGATTTGGACCTCACAGGTGAAAGCTATGCCAACGAGCCGACGATGCATTCATCAGCCAAGCAATCACCTTCCACCCACTTCGCAATCGTCAAGGTCAAATATGTACAGCAGAGAAATGCACCAGATACGACGCATGCGACCATCACACATTCTGAGTGACGCCCCTAGGTCTCTGCCTGACTCTGTGCAGATCGGCAAGGAGGTCAGCATAGAAACCAGCCCGCCGCCAGTCCGCTGGGTCGGATGGCGACGGCCTCGACAAGCACCAAACGACGATATTGACACGCTCGCCTGCCAGAGATCCAGGCAGCACGTGTGTGTTTGAGGATGTTTCCTGCGCCGTCCTTCTGACTGACCTGCATTGAGTGTACGGACGCTATGCCAGAAGTCGCCTCGATGCAGCACTTCCCAGCCCTCACGGTGGACGTACGAGTGGCTTGCCTGCCAATTGAAATGGCCGCACAGCCACACAGCCGCACAATCACACACATACTCGATTGCCTGCCGCACCTGATGATCGACTCTTGGCGTGTCATCGTGGCGGCCCTCGAGAAATACCAAATGACCACCTCGCCCAGTGTTGCGCAAACACACATTCAGCGTGTAGTCGGAGTCATCTTGATGCATCCTGCACCCCATCCATCCAGGCGTCGTGCATCATGCACGTTGGTTGCGGCCTACTTGAGGTTTGTGTCCTCTCCGACGCGATATCGTATTGCATACGAGTGATGATCAATCGGATCATAGCCCTCCTTCCCACCGTCGAACAGACAGCCGATAAGATCTTCGGTGAGGGAATGCAGCAAGGAAGATGGGAGCAGCTGTTGCAGTTCGTCGACTTGGCTGAGTGTGTAGCCATAGTTGGTGAGCCCGTTCGGCAGTGTGCTGGCTGCGGCTGCTTCAGTCGTCTCATGCCGCTCAAGAGCTTCACAGACGCGTCGGCAAAAAGAAGGTGAGAACAGTGGGAGAGCGAAGGCTCCATCGCAGATCCGCATAGCAGCATCTTTGAGGGTCTCCGCGCCTCCGTCATCGATTCCGGCACTCTCTCGACATGCACCTCGGATGAGCGATGAGCGAGAGATAGATGCAAGAGTCCTGGCGACCGCTGGCAATAATCCATCAATCATGCTGCAGCAACAATCAAAGCATTGCCAGACGACGTTACGCCAAGCTACTGCAAGAGTCGGATCGCCTGCAAGCTCGCAAATTGTAAACACGAATGCCAATCGGACGCATCTTTCCTAGGTTCGAGGCTGGAAAGATTCATGCCTAAGATGCGCTGTTTGCTGTGGAGCGTCTTGCTTGCCGGCCTGGTTTGCATCTCCGCCGCCGCTGAATGGAAGTGGACGCGCCTGCCGGGTGATGGGACCAAGCCGGCGACCAGGGCCGGACACAGCGCCGTTGCAGTGGATGACACGCTGGTGGTGTTTGGCGGTGTGATGCTCGACGTCAAATACTTCAACGACATCAATGTCTACGACACCAATGCCAGGAGATGGTCACAGCCCAAGATCACTGGCGAAGGTCAGTCAAACAGGCCGGGCACAACGAAATTCATCCATCCATTTATCCATTTGATTGTCTGTTTGTTTGTTTGTGTTCTTTCAGTGCCTGAGGAGCGGGCCGGCCACACTGCGACACTCATCGGAGGCGACATGTACATCTTCGGCGGCTCAAACAACTTCGGTCAGCCAGCAGACGACAAGGCGAGAAACAAAGCCATCCATGTTGCGTCTGCCGTCTCATCTCGTGCATGGATCAACCAGGGAGCTTCAGTGACGTGATGCGTTACGACACCAAGAACCACCGCTGGCTGCGTGGCATCCCTCAAGGCACCCTCCGTCCCGTCGGCAGGTCCAACCACGCCGCTGTCTATGACGGCAACGGCAGGATCTACATCTACGGAGGATACACACAAGTGAGGCAGGGAGTGTTGACGGATGAATGAATGACGGGAGTTTGTGTGCGGGCGTCGCAGGAAGGGAAATTTCTGAGCGACATTTTGATCATCAATACCTTTGTGGAGGGCGACTGGATCGATGCGACCACCTTCCCCTTCGCCTTCGAACAGCCTGTCGTCAGTAAGTCACGCAAGCAGCCGACGATGCCGACGCGCTATCGTTCGGATTTCTTTGCGTGTTGCAGGTGGGCAGGCGCCTCCCGGTCGTGAGAGCCACACCATGACCCTCTCCAAGAATAAGCTGTACGTTGTCGGCGGATACACCGGCACAGGCGTCAAAGGTCACTCACACACAATCACCCGACACACCAGAATAGCTATTCTTCTTGTCCTCTTCCTCTCTCAGATCATGACTTGTGGGTATTCGACTTGGATGAGCAGAAGTGGCTACCCAAGCCGCCAGCACAAGAGCCCTTCCCCGGCCAGCGCCAGGGCCACACAGCTCTGCGCCACGGCAACGACATCGTCCTAGCCGGTGGCTGCGATGTGACCCGGGACGTCGCCCTCTGCTACAGCGACGTATGGGCACTGGACACAGGTCAGCCTCTGAGGTGATGAAGAAACAGACGGACAGATGAATCCATCCATTTCACGTATCCTTGTTGCAGTTGGTATGCGTTGGTCTTGGAGGTCGACGGACACCGTGTCGCTGTTGCCGAGGCAGGGCCACACAGCCAACTTCATCCGCGGCAAGATGTACATATTCGGCGGCTGCCGCATGTCGGTCGAGTGCTACAACGACGTGGTCGTGCTAGACACCAAGGAGCCCTGCCCGGCAGACTGCGGCGGACACGGCACATGCGCATACGGGGTGGGCGAAGCAAGAAGGGCAGCGCATGCATCCATGTCCTTTCTTGTGGTGTGTTCAGACGGTCTGTCAGTGTCAGAGCGGCTGGACTGGACACGACTGTCTGGACCGGGAAAGGTAAGCAGCTCTCTTGTTCTGCGAATACGTCCTTCCATCCATCCATGTGTGTGTATCGTGTGTCAGGTGTCCTTTCGACTGCAACGGCCAAGGCAGCTGCCACAGAGGACAGTGCACATGCAACAATGGCAAGCAGAGATCGAGAAGGGGAGTGGGATTGTTGCTGTGTGACGGTGATCACATGTGATGCAGGCTACATCGGTGCGAGTTGTTACACAGAGATTCCCTGCCCGAATCGCTGCTCCAACCACGGCGCCTGTCTGCCTGACGCCACATGCCAATGCTACCTCGGATACCACGGTGAGACATACAGCAATGGCGATGAGACATGTCATGTCTTGAGTGTGCTGTGATGGCCAGGTGCTTCGTGCGAGAGCGGCTCTCCTGTCTGCCTCAACGACTGCAGCGGTCACGGCACGTGCAGCGAGAAGTCAGAGTGCATCTGCCATGAAGGATATGGGGGTAAGGCAGACGTACAGCGCAGAGATACACACATACATATGATGCATTCCTTCACAGGAGTGTCCTGCGAGCAACAGCTTGTGTGCCCCCTTGGCTGCTGCAACCACGGAGCGTGCGAAGGAGGTAGGACAAAAGCAAACGCCTGTGCGTATCGATCCACCTCACGAATGTGTCTATCAGGCAAGTGCAAGTGCGTCCCCGGCTTCATTGGCAAGAGCTGCGCGATCAACGAGGACCAGAAGAACTACGTCTTCAAGATGACCGACCGCACCAGTGCCGACCTTCGTGCAGAGGCAAAGATCAAGCGCGACGAGGCCAGCCAGTCGAAACAGCTGGCAAAGGAGCTCTTGGCGGACGCGGACCGTGCACCGACTACAGCAGAGGCACGCAACCTACAAGCCAAAGGGAACGGCCTCGAGGTGCCTGACGGCAACAACCACAAATATATACGTATGTGCAAACAGTGTGGTGGCTTGTGTGTGTCAGATTGACGCAGAGGCTTTGGCCAAGCAGGCGGAGGAATTGGAGAAGAGGGGCAGCCTCGTTGCAGGATACCGCTCACCCGACAAAATGGAGGTGGGCAGGGCAGATGTGTGTGGGTCGACGCACTGCCTTTGGGCATGTCTTCTCCTCTCCCACAGAGCCTCTTCGACACGAGCACGTGTGACGCCAAGCTCAAGCCCGACATGCTCCAGCGTACGCAACATGCAACACGCACACAGGCAGATGGACGTTCCAATGTTCTCCTTTTCCCTTTTCCCCACAGTCCTGTCGGCTGAGCATCACTATCAGGCACCGCAGACGGACGAGTCTGTGCAGAAGCCCATGCCACCCACCAGCAGCGGCACCGCCCAGCCCCGCTTCACTTCACTCACACTGCAGAACCCCCCTCAGTCGTCTCCGTCGCAAGGCAGATCGGCCACACCAACCGAGTTCGGCATCTACAAACAGGGAAAGCAACTCAAGGTCCACCCACACATGCACCCGACTGGCTGCCGAAGAGAGAGAGAAAGAGAGAGAGAGAGAGAGAGAGAGAGAAAGAAAGAAAGAGAGGGAGAGGGAGAGAGAGAGAGGACAGTTCTGTGATTGTGGCGTGCAGGTGGGTGAGAGTGGGTGTAAGCATAACTGTAACGATCGCGGCATATGCAAGGATGGCGTCTGCTACTGCGAGCCGGGATACCACGGCATAGCCTGCGCGGCGGGTAAGTGGATTGACCAGGGAAAGCTCCCAGCCACTCACACATGTAAGTGTACCTGATATGTGTGCGTTCCATCAGAGGATTTGGTGACGAAGAAGAGCGTGCCGCTCACATGGGCGGTGGCCATCGCAGTGTCGGCTCTTGTCGTCTCAATGATCGTCACGGCCACATGCATCCAAATCGGCGGTAAGGAAGAACCTGAAAACAACACACACAGTCGTGCCTTGTGTCTCGTGTGTGCATATGTATTGTCTGCCTGTGTGCGTGTGCAGCAAGACGACGGGCTCGAGCCACACAGGAGATGGGATACAAGGTCTGACCGACAATCCAAATCCGTGCTGCATGTGCCGTCGGACGAGCCGTACATGACAGACTCACTTAGCGAATCGGATATCTATGCAATTCATGCATGAGTGCATGGAACAATGAACCCGCGTCGCCATACAATAATGCATATGAAACAGATACACACACACACACATGTTATGTTGGTCGACAACACGTACAGACTTATATACACGTCTTCCCGCACGTGCGGGACACGCAGCACACGGCATCCCTTTTTGGCCGAGGCGACATCAAAGCTGGAACAAATCGCGGCCTTATGTCTCTCTGCTCAAACACACAAGTAGACCATCGCTTGAATGGCCGCGGCGGGCCGTTTCGTGGGCTTACTTGGCTAATGCTCGGACGCACAGCCTGAAGGGCCGGCGGCATGATCAGAGAATGTGAGTGCACCACATCGCGTGTGGCAAGACGAGGTGTCGCCAGCTGCTGTTTCGCAGCTCCTGTCGGCTGCCGACACACCCTGCGGGCGACAAGGAACATGACAATCAGCATTCCTGCCTTCTTATCTTCTCATGCCTACTCCGTTGGCCGCTCCCTCGGTGGTCGTTGCAGAGCTACGCTCCGCATCTCATCGAGTTTCCTGAGCATTCGAGATGTCTCAGTCTCAAAACACCGACTGAACTCATCGACGATGACCTGATCCTCTTCTATGGCCCCGGCCGAAGTGGGTGCCGCTGCAGCTGACACCCCCAAAGCCGGTGTGCTCCTGGACACGCTTGTTCTGTCAGCCTGCCTTTCGATTGCAGATAATCGAGAGTTCACTCTCTTCATCTCATCTGCCAGCTCCTGTATCCTGCCGTGTGCCTGGCGCAGGCTTGCAGTGAGCCTCTCTTCCCTCTCGGCTGCCTCTCGCCTGAGCGTCTCGAGAAGCCGCTCATAGATGAGAACCTCCGGGCCCTGCTCGGCAGTGGCAGCCACCTCTCTCAAGGCCCGCCGTACAATCTCAGCTGACATGTCTTGAGCCAGGTCGTCCGCTTTAGAGCACTCCTCGCCAGGACTCATTGACGCTGCTGCAGGCACTTGCCGAGGCCGAATGTCATCGCTGAAGCGGACCCGGTCCGACAGATTTCCGCCCTCTGGTTGATTCCTTCTCTCGTCGTCCCGACCGGCCTCCGAAGATGTCCATGGTCTGTGCATGCCGGTGTTGGCGAAAGGCTCTCGTGGCTTTCGGGGAGAGAAGGGCGGGTGTGTTCCCCCAGCTGGCCCCCAGTCTCTGCCCCCCCCTCCTCCAGTCTCCCTCCAGATGTTTCTGCCGCACACGCAAGCGAGTGGCAATTCAGGTTACTGGTTGGGGCGATCTGCCTTCACATGCTTCTCCTACAACAAACCGGACGACTACTTTGGCCGCTATCAAGACCTCTTTGGCAATCTCCCTCCCGCCACAGCTCCGAAGGTGGATGCACAAGCAAAGGCGTTCACAGGGGCGGATGCTGTGCAGGGCTCCCCATAATGCTTGATCTATCTGCAGCTGGCCTGTCGGTATTCATCGCTAAGGCCCCGAGATGGAACGAGAACATCCACGCGGTAGATGACGTAGTAGATAACCAGTGCCTCGGATCAAAACACAGATGTTTGTCTGTCTTACAATGTCAGCCTTGCACCTGTGGCCCGCGACTCTTCGGTGCCAACGCACTCAAGCCGTCTCGTGAAAGACAAGGATACCACCTCCGGTTCGCTCACCAGACAGCGGGAAAAGCCATCCGAAGGCGGCAGACCAACATCTGATGCGTTCCCATGGCTGGAAGAGGCAAAGTGGGCACACGATAGGCATGCAACATCGGCGACCTGCATCGGTCATCTTTATGCGTTGATTGGTGCAGCCGCCGTCTCCCTCGCGTCCACAACACTCGCTACTCCTATAGATTCCAGTGGGGAGGCGAAAAGGTGCCGCCAGAGGAAGAGTGGAGCAACACGCCCCCACCTAAGCTGGGCCCGGAGGCCGTCGAGCAGATCAGGCAACACGCACAGCTGCCGGTCTATCGGCCACACGTCTCACTGAGACGGTGAGCATACAGCAAGAGAACCATGAATATCGACAGTCTGCTTGCTTCATTGTCCGTAGGAATGACCCCTATTATGACGCGCGCCGGCCTGTTTCCGTTCAGCCGAAGGAGACAAGGCCGCCTCGAGATAAGCTGCATCGGCTGATCGTCCAGAATCCCGTCAAGTTGAACGCCGAAGCCAGTGTGGTCGACGTTCCGTACCGAATAGTTGGCCACCATTTCTAGCGATGGGGAACAGCTTGAAGCTGTGCATAGTGTGATGTCTCGTGAATTGAGTTTCCCCTTCCGTGGTGTGTATGCATCGACTTTATGGATGATCGCAAGACCGATTTTGCTGACATCTGGGTGTTGTGTGCATGCTTCTTCTCCTCGTTCGTCCATTCAGCACGGACAAAAGAAGGCTGTCAACATGCATCCGCGTCTCATAGTGCTTTCTGGCCGCATCACCACCATTTGGCCCCCGCAAACAGCTGGCCGACGTGCTCGCCGACCTTCCGCCAGCTGCTCGTGTGCTCGTGTGCCTTGGCAAGCTGCTCCTTGCTCTCGTGATATACCTGCGAGATGCCCCCAGAAGTCTTCTCGTAGAGGTCCATAGCCTCATCGGTCAGCTTGTGCGTGAGCTCCTTGGCGTTGTTGTAGAGGTCGTTCGCCATCTCCTCGGTCTTCTCCCAGTGGCCCTTGACCTCTGCCACGACATCCTCTGCCGTTGTTTTGGTCCCGGCCACTACCTTCTCCACTGCGGTCATGATCTCCTCCTGCGCTTCTTCCTGGACTTTCTTGGCGGCTTCGTAGTGCTCTTGTGCATCTAGCGAGACACAAGCAGGTAGACAGAAGGTGCACCGGCAGGTCTGCGCTCTTTGCACTGCCCGGTCTACCTACCGAGCAAAGAAGCCAGACCCTCTTCCAGCATCTGGTTGGCGTTCCTGGACAGCAGTTCAGCTGTTTCCGCATTGGCAGCCTCGGCTTCACGCCGCGCCTCTTTGAAGAACATGATCGTCTTCGCCAGGAGCGCTGAGACCTCCGCGTAGGCCGCCGCGGCCTGTGGAAAAGCGCTGCTGTGGGTGTGCATGCCCTTCTGCGTTCGTGCGGGTCTTGCTCACCTTGAGTTTTGCCTCGTCGAAGAGCTCATCTTCAACCTCGGCACGGCCCTGGAGTTCCGTGACCGCAGCTGCGGCCGACTTGCCAATCGCAGGGCGCTCCTGTACAGTGATGGGACCTCCGTACAGGGTCTTGAAATGGGCTGAGACACAAGGAACCGATGGAGCATTTGTGTGTCAAGGGAGAAGATCCGACGTGGTTTGCTGCGTACCTGGAAAGTAGACATCATCGGAGAATCCGTGCTCCTTGAAGGCTGTGTAGACGTTGCGGACGTACTGTGTGGCTGCTTTGAAAAAGTCCTCGTACTCCTCTCTGGTGCGTCCGTCTTTCGGGTCGCCTGAAGTCAGTATATAACAGCAAAATCATTCCTTTCTTCATCGTGGTGCCGCGCCGTACACACGCAAAAGCATAGGGGTGTTTGTCTCGACATGTTGATCACCGACCGAATGTGGCAGTGAGATCCAGATGCTCTTGGCCACACACACACATAGAGAGAAGAGAGAGAGAGGGAGAGAGGGAGAGGGAGAGAGAGAGTGATGGACAGCCCGTCGCCTCTGTGTGTGTGTGTGTGTGTGTGTGTGTGTCTTTCCTTGACATTCGCCACTCACTGGACATGGCTTCCATAATTCGAATGGAGTGGTATTCCGGCAGGTTGGCGTATCTGCTGGCCGGCGTCTCTGTCGGGGCACGGCTGACCGGCCCCTCGACAAGTTTCTTGAGAACGTCCACCTCAAAGTCCAGAAGGAGAGCAGTGAAGTGCAACGCGCTCGTCACAGTGGTGCTGTCGCTCGGCTTGCCTGCACGTTTGTTTCGGTAATCCAATGAAGCAGGCAGGCAGTCAGTCCGGTGGGTGGAGAGACTCTCTAATGCGATGTGTCCGTGTGTCTTTCTGTGTCTGTACCATTCCTCCAAGGCTCGTGAAAATAGTCGACAATGGGCCATCTCTCATCATCCGCCTCATCCCCGCATGTCTCCTTGGGCATCTCAGCGCACCGCTGCAGATCCACCTCAATGACGTCGCCAATGGTTATCGTCTTCCCCTTGAGAAAAAGTATGCGGCCCAGCTTCTCCTCGATGTGCTGATGGAACGCCTTCAGGTCCGCGACTGGGTCTCTGGACTTCTTGACAAATTGAGCCATGACCATCCTGTGCAACGGGGTTTCCTCTTCGGGCTGAGTGAGACACGTGCAGAAACACATCCATTGCAGTGCACACACGATCGGGATAGACACGCATATATGCGTACCTTCTCCAGGCACATCCACATTTGCATGATGCCGGAGAGCGCTCCCAACACTGTGTACGCCGGCATCTCGCCCCCCTCACCACCGCGTGACATCGCCGCCCCCAGATGGAATGAAGCCACCCGCTGGAGCACAGGCATATCGAGCCCCGTGCCTCCTACCTTCTCATACACGCACGGCCCGCCCTTCTTCGAGACTGTGCGGAATGCCGTGACGGTCGGGTTGAGAAGAGAGGAGCTGTTGACGGGCCACAAGAGTGCTGCAAGGACAGCGAGAATGATGAACCGCTCTGCAGTGGTCATTGTGTCAGCTGGTGCTCGCGGGCGGATCAAACCACTCGAGTCCTCCAGAAACAGCTGCACAAAGGTCTTCTCGCCACGGCAAGGAAGCCGAGACTCCAGGGCCCCCAGTGTGCATTCCAGTGCATTTACGAGCTAGATTGGAGAGCATAATGAGCTCTCATTCTCGTATATATATATTGTTTGATGAGAGTTACAGGCCGACAAGCGCCTCCGCGACGAGATCTCGGCCCATGACCGGCACCGAGCTGTACAAAACGGGGGACTTTGCTGAGGCGCACAAGGCCTTCACGCGCACACTCAAGAGCACGAAGGATGCACCCATCAGGGCCGCCCAGCTCTGCAGTACGCGTCCACGGGAACAATACGACCGTATTCATGTGTGTTATTCATGTGTATGTGTTTGTTGGTATGTGTATGGTACCATGGAATTGCAGACAGAGGGGCGTGTTCGATGCATATGGGGTATCTGTCGGCGGCTCTGGAGGACCTCAGCTCGTCCCTGCAGATCAACCTCAAGCAGGAAAAGGCGTGGGCACGGATGGCAGCTGTGCTGATACGGCAGAAGAGATACGAAGATGCCATCAGCGCACTCGAGGACGGCCTCAAAGTGTGAGTGGCAGCTGATGCGTGTGCTTGCATGAGCCGCCTCCTCATTGCTGTGTGTTGTCTTTGTGTGCAGGTTGCCCGGAAACAAGCAGTTGCAGGACATCCTCCTGACAGCCCGCGAGTTCCGCTTCCGTGCCCGGCATCCCCTGTACAACCCACTCAGCGTGGCCATCGACAGCCTGGCGCCCTCACCAGTGACACGCAAGAAGGTCGCCGATGCGTTCGACCGCTTCGTGGCGCTCGAGCAGCGGTACTTCAAGGGCCTGTCGGCGGCCGACCGGCAGGGGCTGTGTGAGGGGGACGACGAGCCGCTCTCGAAGATCACGGAGGAGATGAGCATAGCGGGCGAGGTGCTGTTGCTGCTTCTCGGGCTCAAACCGTGTGTACTCATCGCCCATCCGTAGGCCGAAGAAGGGCAGAGGGAGAGGCACGTCTGTCTGGAGCAATCATCTGATGGGTTCTCTAGGTGGCCCAAGTACGCGAGTAGTATTGTAGGTTTGGCGGTGCGCCCCTTTGTGGCGGCGACCAAAGACATCGATGGCGTCGTGATGGAGCTGCGCGAGATCACTCACGAGATGCGCACCACCTCCTTCACCACCACCGGCGGCGAGCACAAGGGATTCAAGGTATGAACACGCCCACGGCTCCTCTCCCTGCCTCCCTGCCTCCCTGCCTTCAGCTGGGGCGTCATTGTGTCTGTGTCACGCGTGTCTGCCACGTGCAGGGCGGGTGGGTGTTGGCGAACCGCATGGACGACCGCTACGGCCACGTGCGGCGCACCTTCTACGAGGCCAAGCAGGGATACCTGGTCCTCGAGGACGCCGTGGCGCTCGCACTGGGGTACCCAGGCACTTTGGAGGAGAGCGATCGTGAGCGGCACACATTCGATGTGTCGTACAAGGGCCGGCGGGTCGGCAGCAGGGCCCCGCAGAAACCCGTGAGTCAGTCAGCGAGTGGCTCATTCAGGATGGATGGATGGCCGAGGGATCCGTCGTATGTGTGTGTGTGTGTGTGTGTGTGTGTGCAGTATTTGGAGTACTCGTGCCATGGTAGCGACTTGCCCGTGTGCAAATGGCACCTCTCTGTGTGTCGAAGGGCGTGCGAGGGCATCACCGAGCTGCAGGCCTACTTCAACCACAGCTGCAGCACAGATTAGCGCAGATGCTATAGCACAGATGACAGCACTGGAGGAGAGGGAGGGAAGGAGGGGGATCCTGTGTCTGAGCCCGCAGTTGTTGATATACATGTGCTGCGCGGCATAGCTAGTGCTGGCTGGTCCCTGAGTGGATGGGCAGACGGGGGCCAGCGAACTAGGCATTGATTGTGCATCTCGGTGTGTGTGAAGTATTGACTAACCACATGGTGGCACGGTGGCTAGATGACAAGTGAATGTTGAATGGTGTGCGGTTCGGTGCGTGCACCGAATTTCGGCTTTGTGCTCATCACACACGACAGTTGACGGTCAAACACGCAGCCACGCGAAAAAATGTCTCACAGTCGACGTCACACACGTACACATGTCCGTCCGCATAAACAACCACAACCAGGTCTGTAGGTAGGTCCTCGTCCATCGTCCATCCATCCACCACTACCAGTCCCCGGCGTAGCCCTGTGTGTTTCCGTATCTGCTGCCTGACGTGAGGTAATCCTTGCCGGTGCCCCCCAGCTGTTTGTTCTTCTGGCTCTCGAGCTTGGGGCACTGTGCGATTCGGTGGCCCAGCCCGCCGCAGTAGGCGCAGCCCCGCACCCCGCCCACCTCCTGCATGTTGAAGCCACGGCTGTCCAACGCCTCGAGGAAGGGCGGGATCTTCTGGTTGGCCTCCAGCAAGAGCGCCTTCAAGTCAAGCAGGATGGTCTCGTCCTGGTTCTTGTTGATGAAGGTCGTCGCCACGCCCGTCCGGCCACAGCGGCCTGTGCGGCCTATCCGGTGGACGTAGTTCTCGATCTCCTTGGGCATGTCGAAGTTGATGACGTGCTGGATGGCCGGGAAATCCAACCCCTTGCTGGCCACGTCAGTGCCCACCAACACGTCCTTGCGGCCCTCCCTGTACCACACAACAAGACAACACACGAAGCGATTGATTGGCCGTCTCTCGTGTGTGTGCGTTGATGTGTGTACCTACCTGAAGGCCTTGATGGCCTCGTATCTGTCGTCCTGTCCGAGTCCGCCGTGTATGGCGACGGCCTCGACCTCCTTGAGCAGCAGGTACTCGTGGACGTCGTCGACGTCCTTTTTGTTCTCGCAGAAGATCAGCACCGGAGGGGGGGTCTTCTGCAGGCACTGCAGCAAGTACGGCAGCTTGGCCTCCTGCTTGACGTACTCCACCTCCTGGATCACATCCAAATTCGCCGCACCAGCACTGCAACACACACACACACGAACAAAGGGCCGATGATGGGAGAGCTCAAGGAGGGACATTCGATGGCTTTCTGTGTGCTGTGTTGGGGGTGTGTGTGTGTCCTCGTACCGTCCGACATTGACAACGACGGGCAGCACGAGTGCCTGTTTGGCAAACTCCTGAATCTTCTTGGGCATGGTGGCGGAGAAGAGGAGCGTCTGCCGCTGGTGCTGGAAGTGGTCCAACACACCACGAATCTCTTCCTCGAAGCCCAAGTCAATCAAACTGCACACACACACACACAGCAACACACAACACACGGCACGGACCGTCACATTGCCCATAGTATCATGTCTGTCTGTGCCTTCGTACCGATCAGCTTCGTCTAGTGTGAGGTAGTGGCACTGCACGAGCGACATGCGCTTCTTGTTGAGCATGTCCGTCAACCGGCCGGGAGTGGCCACCACCAGGTGCACACCGTCTCGGATCGTCTGGGCCTGACCGGCGGGCAGCACAGCACAGCCGCACAGAGTCAGTCAATGTGAGCATGTGCATGGGGTCACTCGCGTCAATGTGTGTGGTCACCGTACCTGTGTGTTGACGCTGATGCCGCCGATGCAGCAGACGCTCTTGAGTCTAGGGAATCCCCCGTCCTCGAGGGCCTTGCAGTAGTACTCGAGCACCGCATGTGTCTGCTGCGCCAGCTCGCGAGACGGACACACCACCAGCCCGTAAGGACCCTCGCCCTGTCAGCCGAAAAATGCCCAGGAAACCGGCAATCAGATCAGCATATATCGTCCCTTGCTCGTCTGCTCGCCTCACCTACCTTCTGGAAGGGGATTCTGCACTCGTGTTCGAGAGCAAACATGATCATGGGGAGGGCGAAGACGAGCGTCTTGCCGCTGCCTGTGAATGCGATGCCGATGAGGTCCCTGCCCTCGAGCACAGCGGGGATGCCCTGCATCTGGATCTGAGTCGGCCGGTTGATGCCCTTGCCCTTCAGCGCCTCCAGCAGGGGCGTGGGGAACCGCATGTCAGCGAAGTTCTTGATTGGAGGGGGCACGTCCTCACCCTGAATGTCGATGAAGTACTTCTCGCGGAGCGCGTCAGCGTCCTTGACGGGCATCTTGCGGTACTTCCATGGCGGCCGCCAGCACGTCGTCAGCCGCTCCGTGTACACGATGCCTTTGGCACGCTCCTTGACCGACAACAGAGGCGCGTTCATCGACAGCTGCACCTGCTCCAACACACGCTTCTCCTCCGCTTGCAACTCCTGCAGCCAGCACCATACACACAGAGACGGAGAGGTACACACACACACTGTGTGTGTGTCGGGGGGATGTGTGTCTGTGACTCGCCTACCTCGAGCTCCTGCTGCTCCTTGTCCTTCTCGGTCTTTTTGGCCTCCGCCCTAATCTTGTGAGAGGTCGCCAGCAGGGACTTCTTGTGCTCCTCTGTCTTGGGCGGCGGCTTCTTGTAGACGGGCGCGTCTTGCCCCTTGAGCGACTCCATCCTTTTGCTCTCCTTGGCCTTGAGCATCTGCTCCATCTGCAGCTTCCGCAGCTTCACAGGCATGTACTCGGGCTGGTCGTCGTCCTCATCGGTGGCGGCGGGAGCATCAGCTGCCGCCCTCTCGCCCTCCACGTGATCCTCGTGCTTCCGCTTCGACGACATCTTCGCCAAACGTCGCTACCGCTTGCACGCGAATTGGCAACGCAACGTAGGCTGCCTAGCTGAGAATAAGCACGGGGAAAAGGAAACTCCCTCCTTCTGACAATTCAAGCTCGCAGGCGAGTGCCAGCTAGGACGAAATTATGTGTTGTCCAAACACAACGGCAACACGCCTCGCCACGCTGTTCATTTCGGTTGTAGCGCAAGAAGCACGAACGAATGGGAGGCGAGTCTGCTGTTCAGCCGCCGCCGCAGCAGCAGCAGGAGCAGCACTTCGAGAATAAGATGGCCAGTGACACAGGCCTTCCACCGTCCGGTGTCGATGCCATCACTGAAGACGGCCTGCCGCCGTTCGTTGAGGTGAGCGGTTTGTGCCTGGCAAAACCGACGAGTGTCGTACATATTTTGTGCTGTTTGTTGCAGGTGTATGACGAGCCTCGACACACAACGGTAGGGTAGGAGAGGCGGCAGAATTGACGTACGCCTGTCTGTCGTGTGTTGTTTGTTTGTTTGTTCCCCTGGCAGTGTGTCAAGAACGACTACTGCATTGCGATGAAGGTGCGCTTCCCCTGCGGCGATACCACCTGGTACCACCGTCACAAGGAGGTGAGAGAGAGGATCACACAGACAGACAGGCAGACAGACAGACAGACAGACAGACAGGAGGCCAGGCCAGCCTCGTATGTGTGTGTGTGTGTGTATGTGTGTGTGCATTGTGTGGCAGGACACTGTGTTTGTGTTTATGGGCAACATGGAGATCCACAACTGTATGTGCCTCAAGAGTGAGTTCAACGACTCCTTCAAGCTCGGCGAGGTGCGCTACGCCGCCCTCAAGGACCGCCCCTACGTCCACAAGGCCACGGCCCTCAAGTCAGACACGCCCAACAAAGGCATGTTCGCCATCGATGCAGGTAGGTATGGCCGGACCACTCCACCAGTCCCTATGTCACTCCGAATAAATCAATGTGATGTGGTCGACAGAGCACACCGGGTCGCCGCCCACCGTCAGTTCCTCGCCGCTCGCTGACGCTTCCCACAGCCTGGTGCTGGACCAGGAGAAGGTCCGCGCGTATCGCCTGATGCTGCCAGCCGCGTGCACGGTGCGCTTCAGTTACCCATTCTACGGCCTTTGGGTGGTTGTGAGGGGCGGCAAGGCCACCATCACTGAGGAGATTGCTGAGGGCACGGTGGGCCGTGGCCAGACGAAGGAGGAGCCCCCGCGCGGCGAGTCGCACGTGTACCAGCTGGGTGATCTCTGGTGGGGCTGCCCTGCGAGCATCACTTACGTCAACGAGGGCACCGAAGAAATGGAGATCGTCATCTGTGAGTGGAAGTAGCCTTGTGCAGACAGACCCACACACGAGGAGGAAGCCTGCTCCACAGGATGTCCTTTGTGTTGTGCCGATGGAGGATGGCTTACAAGGCGGGCGAATTGTCTGCAGCTTGTCAGGAGGGGTGTGGAAAAGGGCTAATGCATGAATGGCATAAGTGCATGGTGGGTGTGCGTGGTGAGTGCGGACATCACATCCGTCGTGAGTGGTGTTGATGGCCTGTGTGTCTTGTATGGAAGAACTGTTTGGACTCAATAAACGCTCAATCACTGAGTATGATTCGTGGCTGTCAGGCAGACGTGACGAAAGATGCGATGCATATGCGCGCGTGTCAACAAATGTCGTGACAATCGCAGTCCACTGGAGGGAACTTGACAGTTCCTTGTCAGATCAACGCAATCAGTCAGTCAGTCACTCAGTCTCTGTCCCTGCGCCTCTCTCTGTCTCTGTACGCACCACCTCGGTCTCGGTCTCGACCGCCGATCCGCTCCCTGCTGCCATCCCGCTTCCGCCTCCTGAAGCCGTCCCTCTCTCGCCTGTCCCTCTCCGTCTCCCTGTCCCTCCCCCTGTCGAATGCACGGCGGTCGTCTCTCCTGTCGCCCCTCTCCCTGTCCCTCTCCCTCTCCCTGTCGTTGTAGCGCCCGCTGTCCCTCTCCCTGTTCCTTTCATCGTCATCAGACCCCCCACCCCTCTCCCTCCTGTCATCATAATCACGTTCCCGCCTCCTGTCGTCCCTGACGGAAGACGCCAAACCAACATGGGCATGGGCGGGAGGGAGGGAGGGTTGTCTGTGCGTGTCGTGTGTATGGGTGCCTGTCTGCCTGTCTGCCTGTCTGTCTTACCGGTGGTTTCTGTCACGGTCTCTCTCCCTGTCTATGTCGTCGACTCGCCGTCGCTTTGACCTGTCGTCATCCTCATCATACCTGCGGGAGCCGGAATCACATGCACATGGAGTGTTGGAGGGATGGGTGAGAGTGCATCAGTTGGTTTGGGTCACCTGTCGTCGCGTGGGCGCCTGTCTCGTCGCCTGTCATCGTCTCTCTCGTCGCCTCGCCTGGCGTCTTCATCGTCATCGTCGATTCGCTGCCTCAATGCGGGCTTGGTGGTCCCCTTCCTCTCGCGCCATGCTGGCGATGCGCCTCTGCCCTGGTCCTGGTGGTGGTCTTCTCTCTCCCCCTCCTCCGCCTCTTCCTGCTTGATGCGTCGGTTGGCCTTCCTGTCGTCCTTGTCTTTCTTGTCCCTCTTATCCTTCTTGTCTTTGGGCTCCTTCTTGACCTTATCCTTCTTGTCCTTCTTCTCCTTCTTCTCCTTCTTGAGCTTCTTCTTGAGCTGCCGGTCGGTGAGTGCCGAGAGGCCCTCATCCATGTCGTCATCCTGGTGCAGCTGCTTCTCAAACTGCATCGCCCACTGAGGAACGGAAAGGAGAGAGAGGGAAGTGCGTGTGCGTCCGTATGTGCGTATGGTGTGTGGATGGCTACCAGTTCGTCTTCATCTTTGAAGGGCGTTGGTGCTGGCTCCTTGGCCGCTGCCTCAGCCTTGGCCGCTGCCTGATCCTGCAGGATCTTCTCGATCTCCGTCACGCCATACTGACCGATACCCTTGCCTGCATACAAACAAACAAGACGACAGACAGACAGACAGGCAGACAGCATGGATGTGTGGGTGGGCAGCTTGGTATCCTGTGTGAGTGGCTGACCTTCGGCGCCCGACGCCTCGTACTTGAGCCGTTTTGGGTTGCCCTCCTCGTCCAAGTCGTTCTCGTCATACTTATCAGGGGCACGATAGCTGGACACATGGTCGACGCGAAGCTTCCTGCACGCCACACACAGAGAGCATCAAACCAAGGCCCCACTTGACAGCTGGGAGAGCGTCTGCGCGTGACCTGTGCAACAGCTCCATGCCATTGCCGTTGTCGACCGCCAGCACAGTGCTCCGCTGGTCCTCGTAGGCCAGGAAGGCGAACCCCTTGCTCTTGCCCGTCTTCTTGTCGCGCACAAGGTTGATGTCTATCGGCTGACACACACACAGACAGATGGACAGACAGACAGGCCATTATGAGACAACACATGTGTTCGCATGACTGGCAAAGCTTGTGAGTGGTCAGTTCAGTCAGTCGGTCGCTCACCTCTCCCCACTGCGAGAAGACCATGACAACGTCGCCCTCAGTAAGACCATAGTCCAACCCGCCTATGAAGACATACGAGCTGTTTTTGTACTGCACACACACGCACAGAGCGGATGCAGAGGGGGAGAGATAGCGCGGATCTTGGGTCCGTCCGCCCACCTTGTGATGCCACGAAGCTTCTCCCTCGAGGCCGAAGCTCAGCTCCTGTTCATTGAGTTTCTTGAGCGCGTTTATGTTATACATTGGACCACTCATCTTTGCCAGCTCCTGGAGGCAGATAGAGCGGTTTCACTTCGAGGTTGGTTGGTTGGTTAAGGGTTTGACGAGACACCTGTCCCTAAGCCCGGCGCTACCTTCCGGCGCAACCAGGCATCTTCTCTGTCCACAGCACACACCAAACAGGCAACAGGCACATGCAGAATGCATGCACAAGGCCTATCTGCCCTTCCCATGGAGCAGTGGGTGCTAGTCTGACAAGTCAGCGTCAAGCACCCACTGCTCCATCTCATGCAACTCATATATGAAGTCATACTCACCATCAAACTGACTGGGTGGGAGAGATGGATTGAGTGCAAGCCAGCGAGCCCGCTCCTTGTGTGCAGCTAGGAGGAAGTCTGCAACTGCTGAAAGGAGCGGTAGCTTATCTGACTGCAGCAGAGAGGTAGTGAAAACTATAGGGTGCGCCTTGAGGGCAAGATCAGCTGCGAGCTGAAATCGGCGATCCATTGCGAGCTCGGCGCATGCACCCGGAAAATGGCGTGCTTCGGCGACGAATACCGGCGTGTGAGGCCCCTTGAGAGGCCGGCGACAGCGTCCGGCGCTAGAAGAGGCCGCCACAGAAACTGTCAGCCGCTGGGACCTGGGACTTGCCTCAATGACTTCCGCTTCATCACAGGCAGGACACAGAGGAAGGGCCTTGCGATGAAGGCATATTATGTGTTTGTGCTGCATGTTGTGCAGAGCTTGGTTCGGGGAGCAGTGGCACGGCGTACAAGGTGGGTTTGGCTCTGACTGTCTCGAGCTCGTGTGTGATTGTGTGTCGCTCATCTGGCCCCTCTCATGTGGTGCCAGGTGCGCTCATGTCTGGACGGCAATGTGTATGTCATCAAGAGGATTCGACTCAGAAGCGAAGAACAGCAGAGGGCAGCCATGAAAGAGGTCGGGCTATCTCCATGTCTCCCCTCGGTCTCATGGACCATCTGTCTCTCATTCTGTGTGTCTGTTTAGGTTCAGTTGTTGGGCTTGCTGCGACACCGAAACGTCATAGAGTACCACACGAGCTTCGTCGACGACGGGGCCATCTACATCGTGATGGAGTACGCCGAGGGCGGCGACATGCAGCAGCTGATTCACTACCACAGGCAACACAAGGCCAGCAGACACACACACGCGCCGGGCTTGCCCGAAGATTTGCTGTGGAGGTTTGCCGCCCAGATGGCGCTGGCTTTGGATCACCTCCATCGACATGGCATCATCCACAGGTGCCTTTCGCTTCGTTTGTGTGGGTTGATCGATGCGACGCGTGTCCGCGGGTGCCTTCTGCAGGGACATCAAGCCTCTGAATGTCTTTCTGGACATCAGCCAGAACATCAAGGCGAGAAAAGGAGAGGAATAAACAGAGAGGCCTGGGTGCATTCTTCTCATGTCTGCAGATCGGCGACCTGGGCGTGAGCAAGCTGTGTCCAGACCAGGACTTCCTCATGAACCACACACACGTCGGCACACCCCTGTACCTAGCACCTGAACAAGTGCAGGGCAGATACTATGACGAGAAGGTGAGACAAGACGCCACGCCAATGAACAACTCCGTCGATATCTGTCTCGGACACGCGCCACATACGCCTGCAGGTAGACATATGGTCCCTGGGATGTCTTCTGTACCTGCTGTCCACGCTCGAGACACCCTTCCAGGGGAGCAACCTCTTCTCATTGGGGCAGGCCATCAGCAAGAAGAGACACAAACCCCTGCCTACGTGAGCGAGTGACATTCCACACGAGATTAGCTGATAAACAAACATCTAGTCCGTCCGATGTGGTTAACGTGTGGACACAGGCAGTACTCGCCTGATTGGTGCGCGATGGTCGATCGCCTGCTGCAAAAGAACCCCTCTGACCGACCATCTGCCGTAAGTGAAGTCCTAACATGAAAGGGATCATCCATTTATATATGCGGACGGACGTTGTTCCCTTCCTCAGGCTGACGTTCTCCAGGCCATACCCCCACATCTTCTCATACAAGTAAGTCCGGCCTGAATGTCCTATGTCTCACTCGCCCGATAATGTCTTCCTGACCTACTTCTGTGTGCTTAACGCAGCTTGGTGTGGGCCATACATCGCCCAGCCGCCCACCCGCCCGCAGAGGAGGCGCAATCCAGCCTCCGGTGAAGCCAACGCCCACCCGAGGCAGCCACGGCGACATCCACCATTCTGCAGACCCATTGGAGGCCGTGCGACGCCCAGCCACACCGGCAGAGAAGGAGCTCCGAAGCGAGCACGACACCATTGCTGTCTCATCCCGAGCACCAAACTCGGTTGCGTCTTCCCAAAGCCAGAACGACGACAGGAACGGCCGCGACGGCAGCAAGCCACACGCATCCCTTGAGGACACTGTCGATGAGGGGTATCGAGGAGACAGGCTGCCCATGTCTCCCAAACCCGTCATGCAGTCGCCTCAGGGACCGCTCGAGAGAAAAAGAGTCGTCAGTCGGCCCTCCTCCCCTCCAGGGAGACCTGTGGGCAATGTCGCGTCCCCCTCCTTGCGTCCGATGAGCGCCCACGTCGGCATGGTGCGGATGAAACCGTGTGCAGCCTCGCCCTTCCTGGCGGCTGCCGCGGCGGATCGGGGCGGGGTGGTGGTGGGCCGCCTTGGGAGGTCATCCTGTGTACAGATGAATGCGAATGTGTGTCCGGGGCATATTCATGTCCAGCGTGTCAAGAGACGGCTGACTGTAGAGGACCTGCGAAGGATGGAAGAGTGAAGAAATGGATGGTGAAGTGATTGATGTTCAGCGAGCGCGTTCTCTGCTCTTTCTGTACAGCTGGCGTGCCGCCTGTTTGCATCTTTCTGTCCGTGTCCGTTAGTTACTGTGCGGGGGGCTACAGATCATTTTTCTGCCTGTGTCTGTCGCATTATCGATCGTTTTCGATGCAAGTCGACGGTCTAGGGAATGAAGTCTGTCGTTGCCCACATGCAGGGAGGGAGAGACGGCGGGGAGGTAGGGGAGACAGTAACAGGTATTCTCGTGCACGCCTAGTATGGCATCAGATAGGTGCCAAACGCCTGTACACAAGCTCATGACAGACCGAGAAAGGTAAAGACAAGGACGCATGATCATGACTGTGTGGTCGTCGTATGTTGACATGCGAGTGTCTTTCGGACGCACCTTGTGGACACGCATGAAGAAGGCTCGTGCCCTCTCGCGGCGCCTCAAGGGAAGATCACCTGATACAAGGAGACGCAGAACGGTTTGTAAAACAAAAATCCCACGAAGTTTTCCGACCCACCTGGGTCATCCAGCACGGTTTTTGTATCGAATCTATCGACTGTTCTGCTGGTGATGGGAAGGGGCGTCAGCAACTTGTTGTCCTGCTGCGGTGAGGTCGGCGCGACCCCCGTCCACTCGGGGGCTACAGCACGACACCCTGCAGTCAATACAGTGAGCAAACCACCTTGCAATGTCCCAAATAAAAGAATGCATTCCATTGGATTGCTCATGCACGTACGTCTCGCGAGTCGTCTTTTGCTCCGCTGTTCGGCCTTCTTCCTTCTGACGGCTTCCTCTGCGTCTCTTCGCCTGTAAGGCAGCTCAAAGTCCATGGCCTCCACTGGCCGACGCGCAACACTCATCGGCAGCTTGGACAACTCCAAGCGCAACACAGACACCACCTACATTTTCAGACATGCACCCGGCTGTGTATGTGGAAGGGGCGGGGACTCCTGCTTTCTCTACTTCGTGGTCTTTCTTCTTTTTCCTTCTGAGGAACCAGGGCACGGCATTCTTGTCGCCCCGTCCTCTCTTCGGCCGCACCCACTCCTCCTTCGGGTCGTTCCTGCAGCATTGCATTGCCAACCACAACATCCCCACTCGCAGCCACACACGTGCATGTGGACACGAATGCACATACCAGCCACTTTCCAGGCCAGAGTAAGGTTCGAATAGACCAGCTGACGTGGTCTCGATGAACAGGTGGCGCTTCCTTCTGTACGTTGATCCGCGAGCAGACGCACCCGACGAGGCAGCAAGGGCCGCCGGCGGCTGCGGACCCCTGCCAGAGGAGAGGGCAGGCCCAACAGCAGCGGTAGCAGCCAGGGGAACAGGCCCGGCAGGCTGCTGAGTCAGAGAGAACATCGAGAGCACTGGAGTGGGGGCCGTGGGGGCGTGCGCGCTTGCATGATGCGTCTGATCTGCGCGTTCCTCGCCTCGTGGCCACTGCAAAATGACGCTGTGAAGGCCCTCCTGAACAGCACAGCACTGAAGCTGTTTGGCGGCAGCTCGGTTACGGGTGTCGCAGCGGATGTCTCAGCCTTCGGTCCAGCTTTCCTTCTCAAGCGCTGCATGGAGGATGCAGGCCTCCTTGAGGATTTGCTCACGCCGGGCGATGAGGGCCACTCCTCGCCCAGCAAGAGGGTAAGCAGCTCAAGTATGTCTTCCATTGAACGTTGAATGCGTTCATCACCATGCTTTCAGCTGGGAGATTGGTTGACAGGGACAACCAAAGAAGTGAGAGACAGCATTCAGCCATTCATCGACCAGACAAAGGAGGGGGCAGCTATCGATTATGCGAAATTCGCCTCGCAGCAGCCCAAGACGGCGCCAAAGGCACAGAACATCTTCAGCGACCAGCTGGGAAAGGACGACACCGCCGACGTCGCAACGATGACCCACGACGCCCGCATTGCCACTGTGGTGCTTGTGGCCCATGCTTCCTTCCACCACAAGTACCATAACGAAACACAGGGAGGGAGAGTCAATGCGCATCGGTTGCCGATGGTTGGTGCTTGCCTGCAGTGACGAGAATCTCGGTCTCATGGTGGGGGTGCCGGTGCCCTGCATGTGGGATGCGTCTGTACGTGTGTTTGGTGAAGAGTATTTCTATGGGCCCGACGGCATCCGTGTCCACAACGACAGCGATGGCTTTATGGTCCCTGAAGTCACCATAAAGTTGGGGAAGGCTGACCATGTCTCGCGTGACGACTTCGTCAGGTGCGCTCCACAAGGGGGCAATCAGGCAATCTTGTTTCTGTCACTTTGTCATATTGCTGTCTCCCTTGCAGGAAGCTGAAAAAGGCCGCGAGAGGCGTCAGGGACAAAGACATCTCGTTTGATACAGAAAGCTTCGACATCTTTGGGCTCTCGTCGGTAGACTTCGCCATCTATGCGACGCAGCTGCTGGGGGCGGATGAGATTCCCTTCACCGCTGACACAGCCGACCAAACCGAGCTTCTGCAAAAGGCTCTTGAGGGGACCGACCTGAAAGTTGACCAGTATAAGCCAGCGGTAAGTTGTGTCTCTGGGATGGATGTCTTATCTCAGTGTGTGTACACACTGCAGGCAAGGAGGGCATGGCTGCGCCATTATGAGGCTGTCGTCAAGAACTGGGGCAGAGGACAAGTCCCATGGACAGAAGGCGAGCAATACCTGCACGCACTCGTGTTTGCTCTGCCGTGAGCTTCTCTCCTGTCGGTCTTTTGTCCGTCGGTGTCTCAGATGAATATACCTTCCCAGGCGGCAACGCTGTATGCTGCAACCAGCCAACACTTGCGTCCACCGTGCTGCTTTCCGCCCTGCTGGTGTTCCTTGCCATGCTGTGAGGGTAATTGGCGACGTGTGTGCGTGAGCTGGATGAGTACTCTTTCGACATGTGGCTTTTACGCATAGGACACAGGTTATAGGCGCGAAGCCATGAACGAGGGAAGTGGTCCCTCATCGTCAAACCCACGCAGCTATCGACATTCAGTGTCAAAGACCACAAAACCGTGGACACAACGGAGACAGCACTACAAAACAACACACACACTCAGACTTCCTGCCTGCGGTCCTGCATATAGTTGCCGCGCCACGCACTCACGGACCGAGTCACGGTCCCTCGTGCATCTTCTTCGCATCGGCGAGCAGAACGAGAGTGCAGCGGTGGTAGAGCATGAACTTGAAGCCATCTGTCTCGCCAGTCTTCACCCCCATCGCCTTTCTCACCTTCTCATACACAGCGTCGCACAGCGCGTCCCCTCTCCCCGCCTCCCTGTCGTTGCACTCGTGCACGGCGCTCCACGTCGATATGTACGCCCGCAGCGTCTCGATGTCAGTCTCCCGCTTGAGAGTGAACTCGTGCCGCTTCACTGTGTCGAAGTGCTGGTCGAATGGGATGGTCGTGTACCGCTTGTCGACCAGCTCGATTCGCCGCCAATCCCACGGGAGCGAGTGGAAAAAGGCTGAGAAGTGGGCTGAGGCGTCAGGATTGTCGAAGTAGGCGTTCTCGTATGTCCAAACTGAACCACACACACACACACAGACAGACAGACAGACAGACAGACAGAGAGAGAGAGAGTGGGAGAGGGAGAGAGAGAGAGAGAGAGTGGGAGAGGGGGAGAGAGAGAGAGAGAGAGAGTGGGTGGGAGAGGGAGAGAGAGTGGGAGAGGGAGAGAGAGAGAGAGAGAGTGGGAGAGGGGGAGAGAGAGAGAGAGAGAGAGTGGGAGACAGAGAGAGAGAGAGTGGGAGAGGGAGAGAGAGAGAGAGAGAGGGAGAGGTGAAGTCAACGAAGTGACCAGAATCGGCACGGCAATCTCACCTGCCACCACGCCGGTTGGCCGGAGCACTCGACGACATTCCCTGAAGAATGCAGGCAGGTCGAACCAGTGGGCCGCCTGCGCCGCCGTCACAAGATCAACGCTCCCATCGCTCGCTGGCAGGCTCTCGGCTGCACCTGACAGAAGAAAGGCAGCAAACACAGACAGTCATCAGACACTCAATAATTACAACGATTACATTGCAATGCACACGTTCACTCACCGACATGGTACTTCACTCTCGGATGCGCCGCGGCGTGGTCGAGCTGCGATTGGCTCGCGTCGATTCCAATGACGTCGTCGAACCCGTGAGCGAGCCTCGTAGTCACCTGCCCGTTGCCACATCTGCAGATCGAAGCGACACAGATCAGAGTGAATGAACTGCTGTGCTTGTGTGTTGTGTTTGTGCCATCCTCACCCACCCGACATCAATGGCGAGTCTCGTTTGGCCGCCTGCCTGCCTGATGAACCCCAGTATGGTTTCGTAGAGCTGCTGCGGATAGGTGGGACGGGTCGACGCGTACGCGTGAGAGTTGAAGCCGGCCTTTGCGAAATGGTGTGCCATCAGTTTCGGGGAATGGCGTTAGGGCCTAGCGTGAAACCGCTGCCGGGCTGGGAAGAGAAACGGGAGGAGGGACAGGAGAGTGGATTCGAGTCGGCCATGTCGGTGCACCGTGAGTTGTCGAAGGTGTTTGCGGCGACGACCAGGAAGTGTGCGGTGCCGCTGACGTACACGCGTGAGGAGCTGACGCCCTTCCAGGCGTTCTGCCGCCGCACCATCTGGCCCGCCTTCATGAAGTTCTACAAGGCGCCCATCGAGCGCTGGGACAACGCATTCCTCACACGATATATGAGAGAAAGGGGTGAGTGAGTGACTCAGGGGAGGGGAGGGCAGGGGAGGGTAGGGGAGGGAGGGGCAGCACAGCACTGGTGTGATCTCTGCCCGTTTGTGTGTGGCGTGCCGGCGCCCGCCCTGTTTGAATCATTGGCTCGCTCGTTCAGGCATGATGTACGATGACCACATGCGGCCTCAGGAGCCGATCGTGGAGCGTGCCCTGGAGCTGCTGCCACCCGATCTGATGCAGGCGCGCTACCGGCGTCTGATGCGCGTGGCGTTTGTCGAGTGGACCAAGACGCATCTGCCCTACGAGATGCAGAACTACGACCCCTACATCCCTTACATGGCGCCCTACATCGAGGAGGCCAAGTTCCAGGTAAGTATGCTGTGTGTGTGACACTCCATGTGGATGGCAGGGAGAGAGTGAGTGAGCTGAGTACGATTGGCTGCTTGCTTGGTCGGTTGGCTGGCCAGATCCAAGAGGAGGAGGAGCTCCTGGGCTTCCACCCCTGGGACAGAAAGCTCTGGAAGGGTATGTATGTGTCTACGCACCCCATCCACACGAACACACTGTGTGTGTGTTCAGGTGGTGTGACGGGTCTGGGTGACTTCACCGATGGCGGGCAAATATCGAACATCGGCGCCAACCGCATCCTCATGCACGGCCACCCTGAGTACCACGATATGGGCGAGCGCCGATGAGCTAGTTGATCGATCAGATCAAGGACAGAAAGAAATGCCTCACCGCCTCTCCCCTTGACTCACTGCACCGCGCTGCCACGCCACACACATGCCGTTTTCTGTGGCTTGATTGCATTGCGTGGATGTGTGTGCAAGGGGAGGGGGAGGGGCGGCTTTGAGGCGAGCAGTGCAGTCGTCTTGTGACTGGCGTGGACACACATAGCCAATACGTGTGTATGCTGTGTGGGGTGTTGTGCTTGGGGGGGTGAGGGCGACTGACTTAGGTGCGCCAGCTGTAGCACTAATGAGAGAATGCACGACTGACTGACTGACTGACAGACAAGGCGAAGAGAAGAGGGGGATATATGGGATTTCGCGTCCGTCGTCTGTGTCTGTCTGACAGACAGGGCTGCTTTTCCTGTCCTCTGTCTGAGGTGTGGCACGATGGATGGACAGATGCGGTGAAGCTTCTGTCTGTCCACCGACAGACACCGTCGGCAGACGGCCAACAGGGGCCAGGCAGGCCAGGTCACAGAGAGAGAGGCGGGATATACCATACCTGTGTGTGGACGGTCACTGATTTGATTGACTCTACCGATGTGCCGATCCATGACTCGCTCGTCGTCTCTTATTCCTTCTTAAGGGGATTTATGAGCCTGGCCTGCGTTGATCAATTCAGTACCATCAGTACGCACGCGTCGTAGCACAGTCACGCCGCCACGCATGCCGCCCGTCGTTTACACAAACCCAGACAGATTGTCGTACGCGTGTGTTCCAATCTCACACCACCCAAACCAAATGCCAGGAGGCAGTAAAGTAGCACAGGAAGGACCGACACGCAGGACCACGGACATATGGGCAGCCAGGCAGCCAGGCACACACACACACACACAGACAGAGAGAGAGAGACGCGCACACACACACACACACATTCTCCTTGCCTTTCAGTTGTCCCCCTCCCCGGCTGCATCCCTTTCTCCCCCATCCGCCGCCCCCCTCTTCTCGTTGGCCACATGGTAATGGCTCCCGCTGCTCACACCCCTCAACAGACACTCAAACGCGTCATGCCCACTCTCTTGTTCCCCGTCCATCACCATCATCAGCCGCTCGGGCGACTGGACCGGCCGTGTCGGTGCGGGGTAGTGGGGGGGCTCGCAATACCCAGCCACACGCGGCACGCCTTTCGGCCCGCCGATGGACCTGCGGCGATTGGGGGGCGATAGCTTTTGGCCTTCGGGATGGTCTGGCGGCTCGGGTGACTGGGGGGGCGAGGTGGCGCTGTCGCTCCAGTTGGCGTAGTGGTGGGGCGATGCGGGCGGGGAGGCATTGAGCGCGTCCTCCCCTCCCTCGAGGTCGACCGCATCGAAGTTGGTGTTGTTGCCCTGCGTGCGACACACAACACAAGCACACGTGAGACATATCAACGGGTTCTCTGCATGTGACCTCTGATATCCTGTGTGTGAAGAGAGTCGATCGTGTCTTTGCTGGGATGTTGGCCTTGGGGGAGGGCTCCGGGGACGGCACAGTCAGCGACGCGCTCGTAGGCGAGGCGGGCAGCACGTGCTGAGATATGTTGAGCAGCGACCCCTGCCTGCCGCCCGTCGTGACGGACCCGGCAGTCGACCCAAGCCGACGCGGCAACGACGGCACGGCAGTCGTGTTCTCAGATATGGCGAACGAAGCCTTGGATCGGTCAGTTCGGTTCACCGAGAAGGAGAACGAAAGTCTCCCTCCTGCGCCGGCACCCCCGCCTGCCCGGAACTCCAGCGACGGGATTGCTGACCGCTTTCGCCGCCCAACACGGAAGCCCGATATGACCACTTCTGTGTTGGGCGGCGGGGTTTGCTTGTCGGTCACGAAGGTCACCTGGCTGCCCCTTCTTGAAGCTAGAGAGTAGGGGTGCTCTGAGACGAATGACTGGCGGCCGGTGGAGATTGGCGGGACGGCCGCATCGCCTTCTGGCTGCTCGGCGGGGTGTGGCGGGGAGGGGTACGGGGCGGAGGGGATGGCGGTATTGGCGTCGCGGTCCTCCTGCGAGAGGACGGACATGTCGTCGAGATCGACGTTGTACAGCTCCTTAAGCCGGAAACGGAGCTCGTACTCGCCGTCCACACCTGACACGCCATGCACACATGCACACACACACACAGGAGCGAGCGGTTTGACTCTCTGTTTGCAAGATGTGCCTGTGTCTTCCTTCACAGTGTGCGCGTGCCTGTGTATGCGGTGATGAGTTTGTCGACTTCGTGCACTTTGTCTGGGGCATGCCTCTTGTAGACCTTCAGCAGCTTCCGCTGCAAAGCAGAGAGGGCAGAAGGAGATGGAGATACGTCGTTCATGTGCAGAGAGGGAGGGGGACAGACAGCACACCTTGAGGACGAAGTTGAGCCCTTCGCCGAAGTTTTGTTTGAGTGCATTGTCGAGCACGTCGGGCTTGGAGCTCAGCTCGTTGACCAGAGCCTGAAGACACTCAGAGAGAGAGAGAGACAGACGGGGAAGTGGACAGGTCATGCGTGTGATATGATGAATGACCGACCTTGATTCCGTCTTCATCCGCTTCGACGCCCTTGAGCTCAAAGTAGTTGATCAGCATCTGCTGCAGACCTGGTCGATGAATGCGGGATTGAGTGCACGCACACACGCAGCCAGCCAGAACAAAAGATGATATGGGAGGCAGTGTTGTCTGAGGTCTCTCTCTCTCTCTCTCTGTCTCTCTCTCTCTGCGTGTGTACTTCGTTTCCTCCTTGCGTGGACATAGTCGAGCCCGACGCCGTACTTCTCCACCAGCTTCTTCTGGATCTCCTCAGCCTGAGGAGATATGACAACCGGTACCCCTCATGTGCTGCATGTGGCTGCATGTGGCTGTATGTCCGTGTGTGTGGACAGTACAGTACTCACGTCAGCGTCGTTTTTCTGTATGAAGTCGTTGATGTACTCGTCGTTGAAACACGACCTGTCCTCCGTCTCAAAGAAGTTCTGCAGCCGACGGCGCAGCACTGAAGCGGAGAGCATCCAACAGACAGACACACAGACGGACGAGCTGGTGCGGCTGCGCGAGTGAGAGAGTATGTTGTGTTGTGCTTGTCTCCCTTGTGTGTGCACTGTAAGTACCGTCGATTTGCTCCTCCCTGAGGTTGGAGAGGCCGACGCCATAGCGACTGACCAGCTCATCTTCCAGCTCCTGCTCATCGACAGGTGAGCGCAGCGCATTTCTGGCCTATGTGTGTGTGTGTGTGTCAGTTGCTGACCGACCCTTTCTCTGCCAATATACAGATTAGCGATCCTGTCGACTTGGCAAAGCATCACGGGATTGTGCAGCTCGTAGAACTCCTTCAGACGCTTCTGACCCACACAATCCATGTCACAATCCACACAATCCACACCTCCACTGCCTGGCGTCGACCGATATGTGTATGTGTCTCGCTTCGCTTCGCTTGCCTGAATGATCTTCATCTGGTCGAGCTGCCTGCCGAATGCGCACACGCCGATGCTGACTTCGACTCGGCTGGGCAGCCTCACGTTGAGGTCGACGCCCCAGACGAAGGGCCGAGAGCCAAAGTTGATTTCGAGCTCACCGCTGCCGCACATGCCTATCGTGAAGTACATCGACGGGCCCGTGAAGGACAAGAGCACCTGACACACACACAGGGAGAGAGTGAGGGAGACATGATGATTTATCGGCGTGTGTGGTTGTGGTGTGTCAGTTCGACCTCCTGGACGCTGACTTCCTCGACCAGTCTGCCGTTGATGACGAAGCCGACCGACCCGCCGTGGCGGTTGACGAGCATGCCCAGCACATCGCCCTCGTGCAGCGACACGCCACGCTCGTAGCGCGCGTAGCCGTCGGTATCGTAGTAGAATATGTGCCCAGACGAAAGATACCTATGGAGAGAAAGAGAGAGACACGAGATGACATACTGACGTGCCTGAGGGTGTGGGTGGCGGGATTGACCCGATGGACGACTTGAGGAACCCCGGGAAGTTGAAGATGGGGTATGGTTTGGTGGCCATGCCCACACACAGCATCGCCTCAGTCGGCGGGCTCGATATCGCGTCAATCTCAACCTCACAGTAGCACACAGCCTGCACAACACACAAGCAAGCACAGCACATCCTTTAGCCACCCACCCACCCAATGCTTCCAAGCACTCGCCTCGCCTACCTGTGGAGGGAGCGGGAGGTTGCTCTGTGCACATCTTGGTCTGGGCGGCCCCATGACACACGGCGGCAGCTGCACCGCACTCCTCTCAGTCGTCCCTGCCGTAGCTGCCGTCGCGCTTCTCGTTGGTCGGCCGACCGTCGACGTCGTGGCGTACGGCGGATCCAACGGCCGATTCACCAGGTTACTCTTCTTCGGCAGCGGGCTCGCGGACGAGGGCGTCTTGACCGCAGGCATCTCGTCGACATCCTTCGGCTCATCTCGCTCGTTGGGGGTGCGGATGCTGGCTCTTTCGGAGCGGATTGACGGCGAGGAGGGGCCGACGGCTCCGCTGATGCTGCTGGTGTCGTTGCGGACGCTTGCTCTCTCTGACCTGACGGACGGGGTGGCGGGGATGAAGGGCCGGTCGGAAGGAGTGGCCGGGACGGGTGGCTCCTCTGACTTGAGGGAGCGTCTTGACTGCTGTCTGCTGGCGGCGAGCATCTCGACGGCCCACAGGGCCGACTGTGTGAGGGTAGCCGAGGGCCACGGGTGGATGAAGGTGAGCTCTGTACCCCTTTCCCCGCCGATGATGATCTGGCTGTTGAGCAGGGCGGTCTCCTCGTCTCCCTCCACATGGATGTGCTCCATGCACCACGCCGCCGGCCCCTGGCTCTGGATGAATGCCCACGTCATGCCTGCACACCGACAAACACACAGACAATTCAATGCTGTCCCTCTTCTCCTTCTCTTCTTGTTTGTTTGTGTCGACCAGCGAAGGAGAAGGTCTCCTGTTCGTGCGTCGACAGCCAATCGCGGCCCCGCGCAATGAGACTTTTCGACCGGTAGAGGGCAGGGTTCACCTGTGGCTTGCCGCATACCGCAGCCGGGCATAAGCAAGCCTTGAGGTCCTTGAGCAAAGTGCTCTCCTTGTTTGCCTCGTCGCCATTGGCCTGGTTTCTCTTTTTGACGAAGCCCCGCCGATGGACGGCCTTGCCGGAGGGATCGGCGGCAGGGGCTGGGATGGTCGCCATCTGAGTCCCATCTGAAGGCTGCCACATGGTGGATGGATGGTGCGAAAGTGAGATGACTGTCTGGGGGGCGAGGGGAGAGATCGCAACGGCACCATCGCCCCCAAGATGGCCCCTAAAGAGAGGCGCTTACAATCGTCCGTTCGTCCGTCCGTCGGGCTACAGATCAGATCTTGCCGACCTGTCGGCTGTCTACATCTTTATCTATTATGTCCACATGCAGTGAGGTCACTCGGTGATGATGAGGCGGTTGACGCCCTGCGCCTGGCCAGCCATGTCCATCACGGCACCTCCCCCCGCACCTGTGGCCATGAAACACAGGATGGTTGTCGGCTGGCGTTCGGCCTCTCTGTGCTGTGTGGGGTCTGTCCCTACGGAATGATTCTCCGGTGGTGCGCATACCGCCGGCCTCCTGGCCGGCCGTCTGAGACAGACAAGACAGACAGACAGACAGTGCAGTGAAGTATATGCGTCTCTCTGTGTGTGCGGCCGCACCTTGAGCTTAACGTCCAGGAGCCGCTGCAGCACACTAAACATCTCCCGCTGCCGCGCATGACAGACAAGAGCACAAACCACACATACAGCGAATGTATGTGACACGGCGGCATTCCGGCCGTCTGTCCGTATGTTGTGTTCCACTCACCTGTTTCATGCGGGGCTCCTGGTTCTCCTTGACCTCCTTCTGCTGCTTCCGGAGGTCGCGGGAATGCAGATCTAGCTCGTTCAGCTGATTTGATTGATGCACACACAGAGCGGACGATTGATTAACCATTAATCATATGGTTGTGTATGTGTATGGGTGTGTGTGTATTGTTGATCATCGATGGACTGACTGACCTTGTTGGTGAGCAGAGCTGATAGTGTTGCAAATTCCTTGGAGTACCTGCCCTCGCCCCGCTGGTACTTGGCCTGTGTGACCACACAACACAGGTCCATCCATCCATCCATATTACCCCGTGGGAGTGGCGTGTGTGCGTGCCTCCTTGTTGGCCCGCTCGAGCAGCGCCTCTGCCGTCTGGATATCCACGTTGTGCTGGTGGTAGCGGGACTCTGCGTCGTCACACTCAGCCTCACACACACACACACACACGCTGGTCCCTCTTTCTGTGTGCTGCGTATCGGTGGGGGGAGGGGTGGGAGGGGGATAGATAACAGACCTACCTGCAGTGTTTCGACTTCATGCCTGAGGCGTGAGAGGTCTGAGTCGACGGCCAGCTGCACCGAGTTGTAGGCGCCCTTCTTCTCGTTGTACTTGGCCTCCAGCTCCTGGAACTGCGCTCGCACCTCACGCAAATTCTTGATCTGACACGAACGAAGGAGCACAAAATGACAGACATACTGATGCAGGCAGGCCGCGAAGGCGGGCTGCTGACGGGCTGCGACTTACCTGTGGTGCGAGCTGGTTCTTTTTGTCCTTGAGCTGGTTGGTGATCTCGGTCACGATGCGGCTGAGCTCGTCAAGCTGCACCTCTGCATGCCAGGGGGGGAAGGAAGGAAACAGACACAGTATGGATGACGATGACTGCAACTAACTCGCTGGATTCGATTCGCGTCTTGGTGTACCTTTGGATTTGTCGACCTGCGCCTTGTGTGCCGATATCTCCTCCAGGCTCCTCTCGGTTGTCTGCACACACACACACACTCCCATAACCGCAGGCTGTCGTCCTGCGCGTGTGGGATGCGCTGCGCTGCGCTTTACTTGGTAGCCCGCCACGCCCCGTTTGGCCTCCAACTCAGCTACAGTTTTCTGCCACACAGACAGACATATCCCATCACCAGCACCAACACCAGAACCACACACATCGTTGCCTCTGTGTGTTCGCCAAGCCACTCACCGCCAGTCGCTCATCCCGCTGCTGCAGGATCTGCTCAGTGCGGGTCAACGTCTGAGATCACACACATCCAAACCGCTGTTTCTCTCATGCTCATGGTGTGCTGTGTGTGTATGCAGCTGAGCAGGGCTGACCGCGACTTCCTGTCTGATTTCGTTGAGGTCGGCCTTCATTTCCTTGTACTTGGCGGTCTTCTCCCGCAGCTCAGCGGCGTACTGCTTGAACTCGTCCTTGCGCAGGAACTTGTGGCCCCGCCGCTCCTCGTACTCGCGCTCCCTGTCACTCAGACGCTGAGACAACTCCGACCGCTCGTGCTCCTGGAGCGGAGCAGGCACACACAGGGGATAGTCCAACGGGCTGGGATGATTGATGGGAGTGTGGTACCGCGTCTTTGAGTTCTTTAAGTGCGATTTCTTTCTTTTTGCCGACGAGGTTGGCCTGCTGCTTGAAGACGGTGAGCTTGTCGTCAGTCTGATTGGCGTCCTGCAAGACGGGAAGGGCACACACACATAGACGGACAGAGAGCGAGGGAGAGAGTGGGGTGTATGCAGGCGCTGCTGTCGTGTGTGTGTGTGCGTGTGTGTTTCAGTGTGTGTGTGACCTCTTCGAGTCTGTCCTCGAGTGTCTGTATCTCGTCGCGCAGTCCAGCCACCTGCGACTCCAAGTCACGAATCATCACCTGACACACGCACACACACACATACACACACACATACACAACCAACGCTTGAGGCTGCCGGCGGCGGCTGTTTGTCCGCCGCGTTTGTCTTGGTCATACTTGTGACACGGGCGGCTCCGAAAGGGTGGCCTCCAGCTACATGCATCGCACAGAAAGATAAGACGACAACGAAAGATGGAGATGGCCGACCGTGGCCGATAGATAAATCAATCTTCTCCTCTTCTCTCTCTCCCTCCCTGGCACCCACCGTATGAAGCCTGTCTTTCTTCTCGTCCACCTCCCGTCGATATCTCTCGAGGTTCTCGCGGTTGCGATTCACCTCGTCACGCAACACCTTCAGCATCGTCTCTGAGACGTAGGCAGGCAGGCATGTGATTCGTGTGTTACAAGTCTTTTCTGGGGGCCAAACACCCACCCCACCTGCGCCAGCGTCTGAGTCCTTGATGGACGACTTCAGCTCAGCCAGACGCTGAGTCGACAACATATACTGCGGGACCAGCACACACACACACACACACAGACAGGCACAGGCACTCGGGGTCAGCCGTTGAGTAGAGCAGGCCATCGCACCCCACCCCACCTCACTCACCTGCTGCTCTGCCTGCTCCAGTTGGACACGCTGCTCACGGATCCTGCCGTTGCAGGGAGGGCAGACACAACACAAGGCGTGGACAAAGAGGACGGCCGTGCGAGTAGCATGTCATCTTAATATATTTGTTTCCTCACTTTTCGGCTATTCTGGCCTCCTCCTCCTGTTCCTTCCGGAGGGAGCTCGTGACCTCCAGCAGCGCATCGAACCCCTCCTGACATACAGCGTGTTAAACACACATTAACGGGTTCCATCCCCCAGCCAATTTGACCGACCTTGTTCTGTGTCTTGCTCTGCAGGCTTGCGATCTTCTGCTGCAGCTGCTCCTTCTCGGCCTCCAGCTGCTGCAGCTCCTTGCGCAACTCGCTGGGGTTCGTGCTGCCACACATATCGCATGCGCCATCATGTCACGGGCGGCTGGATGGATGGATGGGCTTAAGGGCTTATGTACCTGGTTTCCTTGGCCTGCTCGAGCGCCTGGTGGTTGCTCTTGAACTGTGCCTGGAGGCCCTTGTACTGCTGGTACATCTCCATCATCGCTGGATGAACATAACATAGTGTTCGCACACACAAAGAGGGATTTGTGTTGGTCGGTCGGCTGGCGTGTTGTGTGTTGCCCGACTGACCGACTGACTGACTGACTGACTGACTGACTGAGCTACCTTCGTCCCCGAGGAACTCTGGCGGCACGTCGATCGGCACCAGGTAATGGGCCAGATACGCCCTGACACGATGGCCACACGCAGAGCCATATCTCTCCACGCCTGCCTCTCTCTCTCTCTCTCTGTGTGTGTGTGTGTGTACGCCTCTATCTCTCATCGAGACTGACCTCTTTCGCAGCCGCTCCAGGTCGCTGAGCAGCCAGTGGATGATGGGATACAACGTCCGCTTGTCGCCCGCAACGAAGCTCTTCTGAAACTCCCTGCCAGACAACATAGCTCACACAGACAACAGACAAGAGGCGGCATACATCTTCTCCGCGTGTCCTGCTGACTTCTCCCTCACTCATCGTAGTTGGCTTTGCATCCGATGACATGCAGGAAGCCGGCCATGCGCACGTACATGTTGTCCTGGTTCTCCTCACGCACATCCACCTCGTGCTTCTTGCCGTCCAGATGAACCAGGATCGCATTCAGGGTCTCCAGCAGCTCAATGCTGACACACATCAGGCAACCACACCCAGGTAGTCAGATCCGTGTCATCGTTGCCATGATTGAGGCATGGGATCTATGGATCTGTGTGTGTCTTTGTGTTTGTATGTGTGCTTACGGCTGTTTCTCGTCGAATGTGACGAGGGTGAGGTTCATGTGGAAGGGCTCGGCGTTGAGATGGTCCACTATCTCCTTGAGCAGCGTCGCCATGAGGGAGAGGGGGTGATGGGTCACGGGCGGCCAATATAAGAATCAAGATGAATCAATCTTGCTCACAGAGATGCGAAGCACGGCCGCAGCTTAGATGAATAGTAGATGCAGCCGCAGCAGCGGTCGCACTTTCGTAGGGTTGCAGGGTATGAAACCCTGATGGCTGTGAAATTTGGTGGCGCCAAGACGGCTGGCGCAGCCCAGACAAGCAACGCGCTACCACCTGACGTTTCGACCGCGTCGTGACGATTTCTCAGCCTTTCGCCGCTTCATCCTGCTCTTCCATGGCTGCTCTTTTTGGTCACAACTTGGTCATCACGAGAACACAAAACAGCATACATCAGATTCTCCTCTTGCCATCAGCGATGGAGCAGGCCAATTGATTGATCAGCCCGGCGCTGCATGCTCGACGCCCTGACGTGGTATTAGCTAACTGTGGAGCGTCAGCCATGCAGGACAGCGGCCCTGTCGATGCGTCAGGCCATGACGCACACGTGAAACAGCGTGATGAAGCAGCGGACGTACCCAATGCGCAGGCGGCAGCGGCTGAGGCCAGTCCGAGCAGCAACAGGTCCCCACCTTTGGGGCTGTCACCCACGCTCGCCGCAGCCCCAGCCCCGACTCCCACACAACCTGGAGCAGCACATGCAGCGCCACAAGCAGCAGCAGCAGCAGCAGCAGCAGCAGCACAACCACCATGTCTGGCTTGGTACAATCGGCCGGAGCGACTGCAGCCGAAGAGGAAAAGGAAGAGCCAGAAAGATGACGAGCCTATCAAAGAGAAGGAGAGAGAGGACGTGCCACCGTCCAAGCGTCCGCGGCCGCCTCCTGCTGCTTCTTCTTCTGATGAGGCTGCTTCTGCCGCGGCCATCGATGTGAGCCATACCGATGCTGCTATGTCAGCTGCAGCTGCCGAGCAGATCTCACTCGATGCTGCAGCTGAGAAACCGGCACAAGAGGCGGAGCAGCTGGTGGGTGATGTGACGATGGAGCAGGCAGGTCAGGCGGATCTGCTGAAGATGCCAACCCCGCGGCTCACCCCCCCCCCCCGTGACGCCATCGCCCGAGGCTGTTGATGACGCAGCCAAAGCCATAGACCAGGAGCAGCAGCAGCAGCAGCAGCAGCCAGGTCAGGGAGCTGCAGCGGCAGCTGCCGGACCATTGCCACCATCGGCAGCAGCAGCAGCAGCAGCAGGTGCAGGAGCGTCCCCGTCACCCTCTCGTCAGGCGAGGGCGCCGACGTCGCTTCGCATGAGAGGCATTGCATCGCAGCAGCTACAGGGAGGTACGCACCCACCCAGGGAAACTCAGTGCATGTGCTGCCTCATGCATCTGCATATGTGTGTGTGTGTGTGTGTCTGTAGTGTCTGCAGGTCAGGATGAGAGCGCTGGCCCTGAGCTCGACGAGAGCGCGGCACTTCTTGAGGGGTTTCGGCAGCTGCAGCAGCGAGGCGCGCGCTCTCGCATGATAGGGTGGAACGTCGAGGATGGCTTCTCTGTCCACTTCTCGTCCCCTCCCGGTGCCGCACAGCGCTTCTCGCGGCGGCTGGTCATCCGCTGTCGCGATAGGCGACCGGAGTCAATCTCGCTGGCTCTCGACAGGGCCATCTTGTGTCGGACTACCATCGAGGGGTGTGCGAGGGCACTTGGGGGCGGGCCTGAGGACGGCGCTGCGGTGGACATGGGGGTGCGTCTTTGGGAGGCGAATCTGCGCGTGTCGGACGCCGAGAGCTACGCGGCAGGTGAGGATGGATGGATGGATGGACAGACGCATGCAAGCTTGGTGGGGTGGGTCCTTTCACTCATTTCTCGATGTCTGTGATGCGTGCGTCTTGTGTGTCGTATCAGTGCTCAACAGGGAGCCCTCTGCCCCTTTGACCCCCGAGGAGGCCGTCGCTTACGTCCGCTGCAAGGTCGCCCTCCAAAAAGACCCGCCCGTCACCCACATCGCCGCATCCCCAGACGCGCAAGGCTTCACCGTGTGCTTCCACCCGCCCCCCCACATCCCCCTCCCCGTTGAGCCAAACCTCCGGCGAGATGTCCTATTCGGCCGGCTCTTTCGCATTGTCAAGCGCACCCGCAGCGACATCGATGACCAAATGGAGATGGCCGTCGACTTCCGCAACAGAGCGGGCGCCAAGCACAGCGAGCTGCTGGGCGGGTACGCCGAAGGGCAGATGACCAGCCAGCAGTGGATGACCGTCAAGGAGCAGCTGGAGCAGGCCTTCCAGCTACAGAGGCAGCCCCAGCCGAAGGAGAAGGCACGGGCCAAGAGGGGAGGCAGGGGAAGAGGCAACGGTGACCGTGGTGGGCGTGTAGCGGGGGCCAATGGGGCGGGCAGAGGCAGGGGCCGCCGTGCTGGACCAGGCCCGGCGCAGCAAGCAACGGAGATGATGGGACACATGGATGAGGGCGGCCCCCCCACACCAGCACCCCCACACCCACCTCCCATGACAGTCGACCCACAGCCGCCAGCCACAGACACGCAGGACATCGCCATGGCGGCCGGGCAGAACGCTGCGGCCGAACAACAGAGTAGCGGCGAGATGGATCCCATCCATCCGGAGTCGGCTCCAGCGGCCGCTGCTGGTGCTGGTGCTGGTGCTAGTGGTGGTGGTGGTGGTGATGGTGGCTGTGAGAGGGAGGGAGAAGGGCAGGCCAAGAAGGCCAAGCTGCCAAATGCGAGGAGCGGGGCTGCGGCAGACGAGCCAGAGGTGCGCAGTCTCCTTCCCCCACTCTCCTTCCCTCTCGCCGCCCCTCCATCTCCAGACGATCCGTCTCGTGGGCTGGGCATCCGAAGGCTGCGGCCCCCCAACTCTGCCCGAGTGGATCTGGGACTCGGACGCCTAGAGTCGTCTGGGGGACAGCTGAAGCGTCAATCGACAAGAAAGAGCGACCAGCGGACAGCAAGGAGGCCATCGTCTCGCACACCCGATGCTGATGTCAAGGAGAAGACGAGCGGACACACAGAGAAGGGGAAGGGAGCAGCTGCTGCAGCGGCCAAGCCGGCCTCCCAGCCACCAGCACGAGCTGCGGGCCCTTCTATCCGTGAGCCTCAGGGGCGTCCATCTGGAGCCTTGTCTGTGGCCGATGGTGACCGTGCCCAGCACCACGGTGAGACAGGGAAGGGGGGCGGAGGCGGGAAGGAAGACGATGGGGCAAGCAAGACCAGCAAGCTGGTCTCTCGCGGTGGTGGTGGTGGTGCTCAGGCGGCTTCTTCGGTGCCGCCCGACGGTAAGTCCGTGAGGAGCAATGAGAGCAAGCGCCACGACATCCCCATCTTTCGGGCTGGGCTGGGTGGTGGGTTGGGTGGTGCGCGGCCGTCACGGTCACCCCGTCTTTCGCGGCGCGATGGCACCATCAAGGGGGAGCCACCACTGTCGCCCCGCAAAGGCCGTCCCCGCTCTGTCCGCTCTGTCTCGCCTTCATCAGCGTCCTTTTCGCCCGATGCATCAAGTACGAGCAGCCTGGGCCAGGGCAACAAGAGGAAGAGGGAGCGACCCAGGGCCACGCTGAGTGACGAGCAGCTGGCCGAGCTGACGATGGAGGTCGACGAAACTTTTCCGGAGGAGTACGAGAGGGAGGTGCGGGAGGAGGCCCCAGAAGGCATGTGCAACGTTGAGAGGCTTATTGGCGTCAGACCCTTCACACACAAGTCGGCAGGGGCGTCTTCAGGCCATCGATTCGACCCATCAGGTATGTAAGGAACGAACCCATCCGTGAGGTGTGTGTGTGTTTCCGTGTGTGTGTGTGTGTGTGCTCTGATGTTAACGAGGAGGGGCTGCCGAGGCGCTTCCGCTTCCACATCAAGTGGGAGGGGTTCGACAACGATGCCAAGAACAACAGATGGGGTAAGTGGACAAGGCAGGCTCCCTGGCCAACAGACAGACAGACAGACAGATGGCAGGCTGACTGATGTGTGTGTGTGGGGATGTGTGTGTGGGGGGATGTGTGTGTGTGTCGTGCAGAGCCCATCTCAAGCTTCAACCGTAGCAAAGGCTGGACAAAAGTAGCCGAGCAACTCAAGGTGAGTGCCGCGCCGTCCATCCATGTGTGTGGATGTATCCAGATGAGCACACTCAACATATCTCGGCCTCACTGATGTCCAGCTCTCTCTCTCTCTCTCTCTCTTGTTTCAGGAGAAGTGGTATCGCAGCGACTTTGCCCACAAGTGGCCGCAGATCTGTCGGCAGGTCTGCCCTGACCCACCACCACCACCAGCGGCTCATGAGCCCGGCCCACCTGCCCCCCTGCCAACGAGTGCACCGCTCGTCCCTCCCGTCCCCCCCGTCCCCCCATTCCCCGTTGAGCAGCAGCGAGAGGCAATCGTCATTGACGACGACCACCACCACCACCAGCAGCAGCAGCAGCAGAGGGAGGGAAGGCGCGTGCGGAACGGTGCTGGCGTCCAAGTCAAGGCTGAGGCTGGGGCAGCTACGGGTGGTGCTGGGGGTGGCAATCAGCAGGAAGGCGACCCCAACGCCACAGCCCGCAGGCAGTCACCGACGGAGCAGAGTGCGGCTGCACGCAACGCGGCTCCATGTGAGGCATCTGTGAGACAGAGGCCGCCCCCCGACTCAGACAACGAAAGGCCTATCAAGAAGTGCAAGACGTCCAGCAGACAGGAGGGTGGGGACGGCGGGGCTGGTGTATTCGCGACGCTGCTCCCTGGCGAGTTGCCTTTGGTCCGGAAGGGCGAGAGCTGCCTCGTGGATTGGGTCAAGGCCGCTTGTCCTCCAAGGTGAGAGGGACACACGCACACGTCACGACACACCGCAATCCATCCATCGGCATGTCTGCTTATGTGTCGGTGTCCTCAGTCCTCCCGCCACACCCACGGGCAGCCCGCAGCTGAAGCGCCTCAGACGAAGCGACGCCACGATGGAAGTCCCATCGTCCGCTGCTGCCACCAAGTCGACTGCCCCATGCACACCAACAGGCCTTCTCACCCCCACACACAGCCGCGCCCAAGACGATCGCACAGCAGCAGCAGCAGCGGCAGCACAGGCAGCGTGTCAGCAAGCTGGTGGTGATGATGGTCTTGTTGATGATGACGTCATCATGGTGGGCGAGCGGAGAGAGTTGGAGGCAGCGGTGCGTCGGTTGGTGCCAGTGGTGGTGTGGGGAATATGGCGTGAGGCGGCCTACCGGTGCTGGTGGGCGATGGTGTGTGCGTGTGCGGGGTGGCTGGCGGCCCTGCTGCTGCTGCCCATCCGCTTTCGTGCCCACATCAGATGAGATCAGACGGGGTGGGTGGGATAGTTTGTCGTGTGTTGTGGGTTGGTGGCGGGGCGGTGTGGCGCGAGCAGGCTCGTGTGCATAGGTGGAATAGACAGACAGACAGACAGACAGAGAGACATTTAGCTGCAAGCGGGCAGGCAATGAGTCGTGGTTAGTAATAAGTGTGTGAGGGGGCGGATGGTGGACGGATGGACACACTGACTGCACCGGAGCAGACAAATATGGTATTGATGATACGTATACACACCCAACCCCCCACTCGAGTCCATCAGCGGCCGTGAGCGGCACACCAAATGCACTCACAGACAAAGACAAAGACAAAATCTCCACAATGCCTCTGCCAACGAAGTACATGTAAGTACACCCACACCGCACCCACCCCAGCCGCCCAGCCACCAACAGACCCACAACTCACCTCACCTCTCCCTACTGGCCCTTGCCTTTGTCCTGGCCATCCGGTACACGTTCCTCAAAATCACATTGAACGCATCCTCTTCAGCAATCCGAATGTCCTCCTCCCTCCACAGCGGTGGATAGGGCGGCACACTCGTCACATCAGCCGCACCCCCCTCAACGACCGGCTGCTTTCGTTGTGTCTGCTTGCCATAAAACACCGACGGCGTGAGAGCGGCGCTCGTGTCGCCGATTCGGGTGTACTGGAGGCGCTGGGCGTTGTCGGCGATGAACCGTTGTTTGGCGGCGACTTCGCTCTTCGGGATGGCCTTGAGGCGGTCGATGACATCAAAGGCGGGCTCTGCAGCAGAGAGACAGCAGCAGCGACGAGAGAGGCAGTTGTATGTGTCTCTCTTGTCCGTTGATCTCACCAGGTTTGTTGCTGCGGACATAGGTCCAGACATCGCTGTCTGTGGGGCTCTCGAGCAGCATGGACGACCCCGGCCACAGCTCCTCATGGTCGACATAGACAGCCGTCTGTGACATGTTGCTGATGTGCCACGGCCAAAGCTGCAGCTGGTCAGGGTGGAACAGGACCGGAATACAGCCGAGAAGGATCGAATCAGCTGAGAGGGAAGGACAACGAATCCGCACTCAGAGGGACGGTGTCTCGCCTGATGGACCATGTGTGTGTGCTGTTCTCACCGATGGCTTTGCGAGATGGGCTATCGCCTGGCGGGTTGAGGCAGAAGACTGAGCTCCGGTATGCCTCGATGACTCGATGGGCGTCGAAGGGTCTCTTGACCTCGCCGCCCTCAGAGCCATCAGCTTCGCGGTCGTAGGCCTCCATCACACAGTCGCCCGACGCAGCCTGAAGGGAATTGAGAAGGGAGGGAAGGAAAAGATGGATCATGTCTCGCGCAGAGGAAGCAAGACCTGCCTCTTCGCACTGGTCTCTGAGCATCCGTCTCAGCCGCACAGCCACGCCCCTCCACGGCTGCTTGCTGTCCTTGTGCAGCCCGCTCGCAAAGGCCACCCACCGCGACCTGTTCGAATGGTCCTGCCAGGGGAGAGGCAGCTCGCGGCCGTCAACGCCTCGCCGGGCGCTCGGCTCAAAATGGACGAATGAGGGGTAAGGAACCGATACAAATCGTGAGAAATAAGGGTCGGTGGAATCGGCGCTGCTGTCATGGTCTCCCCCAAAGCCGATGGTCAACCGATAGGTGCATGTCGGGCATGGGGCCTCGTACGCGAGTTTCAGCACATTCTTCCACACAGACGACTGATTGGGGCTGAACAATTCGGGGCAGAGGCTCCATTTCGTAGCCACACGCGGGCCGATGATGAAGTGGTCATGTCCCTGTCTCCTCCTGAAGAACGACCGCCCCTTGCCGTCCTTCACCCTGTCCAGCAGCCCAGCCAAGTGCCGCTCCTCCTCCGAGCACTCGCCATTCCAGACATGCTGCCGAAAGTAGGGAATGTAGAACACTTGTGCCTTGGTTGGGTCTGTGACCACACAGGGATGGGCCGCCAGCCGCATGATGAAGAGCTTGGCCAGATAGAACTGGTCGGTGTCATGGAAACCGCCGGCCGCAAAGCCCGACAGCGAAGGGCCAAAGCCGAGCCTCTCATGCTCGATGTAGCTGCCGTTGCTTCTGAGCATCCCCGACAGCAGCACCTGTGTGGGCAGCCGATACACATAGATGGTGAAGGGGCACCCTGAGCCCCAGAAGCGTCGTCCTGCGACGGTCCACCACGGCCACGGGAGTATGAACGGCGGGGCGTGTTGTGGCGGCGTGGGCCAGTAGATGATCCACACGCAGGCCTCGAGGATGACGAAAAGGAGAGCGAGGGCAGGGAGCGACTTGAGGAGCAGGTGGAAAGGCATGAAGCACCGACCTGATACATCAATGGACCTGATACATGAATGGACGTAGGCCGTCAAAAGCAACTGGAGGGGAAGGTCCGCTGAGACTGCGGGCGCATTGGGGGCGTAGTCAGAGTGCGCGATTTCATTCATTTACTTCCCCATCGTCCAGTGCCATCAGGTCGCGGCAAGAGATGTCGGTGCATCTGCCTCTCTTCCTCGCATTCTCGCATTTATCAGAGAAGCCCTCACACACGACAAACACACACATCTTCCTCGCGTTCAGCAGAAAAGCACAAATATCTAAACACACGACATACACACACACGCACACACCAGGTGGGTATAGATGTCTGTCTGTCTGTTGTTGCCAGTGCTGTATCTGTCGACGGCTGACTTCCTGTTAGGGGAAGACGATTGACAGCTGCAGCAAAGCAAATTACAGCAGCACACAACACACATACATACCAAACGTGGACCACAACACCACACACGCATACAACACAACTGCACAGCACTCGTCTGTGTGCATTTTCACCTGATCTGGCGGCATGTCTGTCTGTTGTTGCCAGTGCTGTATCTGTCGACGGCTGACTTCCTGTTAGGGGAAGACGATTGACAGCTGCAGCAAAGCAAATTACAGCAGCACACAACACACATACATACCAAACGTGGACCACAACACCACACACGCATACAACACAACTGCACAGCACTCGTCTGTGTGCATTTTCACCTGATCTGGCGGCATGGTGGCCTCCGCCTCGATCACACTCTTGACCATGTCCAAGAAGTCGCCCAGGATAATGTCCTTGAGCGCTCGTCCTTGCAACGGCTGCTCCAGCGCCGCACTCGCCGTTCTCTCGAACTCATCAAATGCAGCGCCGCGCGATATCTTGTGTTTCGGGTCGGGATAACCAGCCAGCATCTCGAAATGCTCGCCCATGCGGTTCTGGACTCTGCCTATGTTATGGAGTGACTTCACGTCTCTAAGGGGCCTCAGACTTGTGAATATCCCGATGACACCCGATTGCGGATGGATGCACTCATGCATATGCGCACAGTTTGCGTCCCATCCCCAAAAACCTCGCCGCCTGACTGACGACCACCAGACACGCAGACCGAGAGGGAAGACGCACAGGCTTTGTTGCTGACGGATGCTCGGCCAGGCCGTGTGGAACTGAC